CCTTTATACAGCTCTGAAATTGATCACATCTCTATTCTAGAAGTTGCTTTAGTTTCTGAAAGAGTGGAATTTCATTTTTAATATTTACCTCGAGAACCAAAGTATATACTGTGTAGTACAACCCATCCCTTTTTATTGATCCAGGGATTACTCCCTCTCAAAAACATTAATACTTGCTCTAGTGGTAGTCTTCAGCTTTCATCCTCTTTATGGCTGTTGGGCAACCTTCTTTGACGTATGAAAAGATGTACCGCTGTGTCTGGCTTCACACTTTATGAAACTGGTTACTCATCTTAGTTTTTCCTGAAGGCACCAGCTTGATTATTCCAGCTGCACCAAATCCTCATTAGACACTGCCTTCCAGCACAAACTATTTTCTTCCACCCTTTAGTCCAGGATGTAGTTAAGTAAGTTATTCTTCCACTTCTAAATTAGTTGACTGTCAGAACATCAATTGAACTCTTGCAAATAATTAGTCTCCTTTTATAAATTGAGGAAACAGTGGACATTATATCAAGCTATTAAATCCAACTGGGCATGCAAGTAATACCCAAGAATCTCAGGTTTGACCCTGAATCTGTTAAGTTGGCATATCCCTAGCAAAACAGATACTTCAAAGCTCAGTTCCTCTAGGGAAGGAAAAAGTCTGCTAGGATTTTCCTGGTCTGGTCATCCACACACAAAAATTAATGTCATGTGATACAAGATCAAGATCAGCTTTGATGTCCCTCTGGTAAAATAGGTTTTCTTACAATTATTTACACACGAGCATGGGCACGTATAAGATTGGAATTATATCCAAAAAGTGTTGAAAACTGATATATGGAGCAAAATGGGTAGGCCATTGTAAAGATCACTAGAAATACCTCTTGTTACATCCTAAAGTGTATCATGTTTATCTTAACTCTCCCTTAATTTCCCAATCACCAATCACCAGTGGAGCAAAGGCTACTTTCAATTCTCCACCCCCATTCTGAAGTCATACCAGATTCAAAGTTGACACTTTCTCCACAGATGCTATCAAACCTACTGAGTTTCTCCAGCAATGTGCATGTTTCAATTCCAGGCACTTTCATTTTTCCCAATAAAGCTGTTGTGGGGAAACTATTTGAAGGCCTAGAAATCCATTTATGTAAAATTCAAATTTGCCTACACATCATATCCTTCTAAAAGGCGTAGGTTAGACAGATATTACTGCTCTTCCCAAAACCACATTTTCTCTGGAGCATATGCTGTTTAATGCTCATTCAGTCCCTAATTATAAATTCTGGTAATTTTGTCTTACCTAAAAAAAATTGTACATCCATAGGCTTTAATACAATTAGAGTGTTATCATTTTCTGATAGCTAATCCAATGACAAATGCCATAATCCTTCTGCATCACCCTCTCAACAATTTCCAAGGTACCTTAATTCTAGATGGTAAGATCTTTTCCCTAAACACAGTGCAGCTGTACACTACAATGGCTTTTTATCATTGCCGATGTCAGCTAAAAAGCTAATTACTGTACTACATGCTAACCCATCCGTAACAATGAGCCCTAGAAGAATGGACATAAACTTTAAGGAAAAATAACTTAGGTCAGTAGTAAGGCTCTGGACTGCTGATTTAATGAACACAGAGGAAGCTCTAATGTCATGACTTTGCATACAAAGAACTCTGAAGTGCTAAATAAATAAATACCAAAGTACCATCATACTTCAAATTGGCACTATTTATGGAATTTAGATCTTATCACTGGTTAATGTACTGTCTTTTATCTCTAGCACATTATATTTGGGTGCTCTTTATAATCATTAGATGTTCAAGTTTCATTATCCAGCAGTTACTGACTATAGTTTAAGAATCTTGGAATATTAGCTTCCATAATTTATCTTCTCAGTATATAATCTGCATTGAAATGTGTATTTGTGTTATCATCATTGGTGCTTTTTCATTCTGTGCTGTCTTCTGGAAGTTCATGGCATTTCCTTTCCTGGCAAATTCACCCAGATCTGTGCCGATGTAATTTTACAAGAGGCTGCTGACTGGTATGTTGCTAAGACCTGGGCTCCAGTGTTCCCTCCCTCAGCGATGATCACTAATCTCTCCATGGTTCACCCTCAGGTCATTCTTTTCAGGTGGCTGCAAATCACTTTTGTTACATAGTTACCCACAGTAGAAGAGATCAGTAACATGGAAACATCTCGGCTCTTTTTCAACTCCGGTATAAATCTGCATATATTTTATCCCGTTTGGTTTTGCATTAACAGATCAGGTTTCCTATTCATCTCATAACCCTCTGCTTTATTTTAAATAAATTAGAATGGTACAATAGAGTAAATTCAATGGTCAGGGCGATAGAAAGCAAGCCCAATTGACCCAGCCTCTACTCAATCAAAGTGATTGAAGGGGTCAGTGTGTGCTCTCAAGCAGCACTTGCAAAGGGATAACCTCATTGACACTAAGTTTAAGTTCCAGTAGGGCCACTCAGCTCCTGACCTTAGCTTTGGTTCAAACTTGGACAAAACAGCAGAATTCCTGAGGTGAGCCCTTGACATCAAGGCAGGATTTGACAGTGACATCTAGAATGCCCTAACAACACTGAAGTCAATGGGAATTGGGAAGGAGGTGGGGTGCACTTTCCATTTTTCATTGGTTAGAGTCAAACCTGGCACAAACGAAAATGGTGCAGTTGTTGGTGGCCTCTCCGGCAATGCATTCCACGCCCCAACCACTCTGAGTAAAGAACCTACCTCTGACGTCTCCCCTATATCTACCTCCACAAACTTTAAAACTATGCCCCCTCGTAATAGCTACCTCCACCCTAGAAAAAAGTCTCTGGCTGTCCACTCTATCTATATCTCTGATCATTTTGTACACCTCTATCAAGTCACCACTCATCCTTCGTCGTTCTGAAGAGAAAAGCCCTAGGTCTCTCAACTTTTCCTCGTAAGACCTTCCCTCCATTCCAGGCAACATCCTGGTAAATCTTCTCTGCACCTTTTCCAACACTTCCGCATTCTTTCCTGTAATGAGGCGACCAGAACTGGACACAATACTCCAGATGTGGCCGAACCAGGCTTTTGTATTGCTGGAGCATAACTTCACGGCTCTTGAACTCAATCCCTCTGTTAATGAAAGCTAACACACCATACGCCTTCTTAACAACTCTATCCACGTGGGTGGCAGCTTACAGAGAACTGTGGACATGAACCCCAAGATCCCTCTGCTCCTCCACACTGCCAAGAATCTTTCCGTTAACCCTGTATTCTGCTTTCAAGTTTGTCCTTCCAAAATGAATCACCTCACTTTTCAGGGTTAAACTCCATCTGCCACTTCTCAGCCCAGCTCTGCATTCTATCAATGTCCCTTTGTAACTTAGAACAGCCCTCCGCACTGTCCACAATGCGACTCACCTTCATATCATCCACGAACTTACTAACCCACCCTTCCACTCCTTCATCCAAATCATTTACAAAAATCACAAATAGAAGAGGACCCAGAACAGATCCTTGTGCTCATAACTGAGCACCATGTTGAATATTTTCCATCCACTACAACCCTTTGTCTTCTAAGGGTCAGCCAATTCTGAATCCAATCTGCCACATTTCCCCCTATCCCATGCCACCTTACCTTCTGCATGAGCCTACCATGGGGAACCTTATCAAACGCCTTACTTAAATCCATGTATACCACATCCACTGCTCTACCTTCATCTACGTGTTTGGTCACCTCTTCATAGAATTCAATAAGGTTTGTGAGGTTATGAACTACCCCTCAAAAATCCATGCTATCACAAATCAAACTGTGCCTTTCCAAGTGATCATAAATCCTATCTCTCAGAGCCCTTTCCAATAATTTGCCCACCACTGACATAAGACTAACTGGCCTGTAATTTCCGGGGTTATCCCTATTCCATTTCTTGAACAAGGGAATGACGTTTGCCTCGCTCCAATCTTCCGGCACTATACCCGTGGACAGTGAGGACGAAAAGATCATCGCCAAAGGCTCTGCGATCTCTTCCCTCGCTTTCCATGGAAACGTTGATTAAATCCCATCAGGCCCGGGGGACTTATCTTCAAGTTCCTCAAAATTCCTAGCACATCTTCCTTACTAATAGCGATCTCTTCTAGCCTACCAGCCTGTTTCACACTGTCCTCCTCTACAACTAGGTCCCTCAGTTGTGAATACCGAAGAAAAGTATTCATTAAGGACCTCTCCTATGTCTTTAGGCTCCGCTCACAAATTTGGACAAAGTCCAAAGATGTACAGGCTAGGTGGATTGGCCATGCTAAAAACTTGCCCATAGTGTTCAGCGATGTATAGATTAAGTGGATTATAGGGGGATGGGTCTGGGTGGGATGCTCGGAGGGTTAGTGTGGACTTGTTGGGCCGAAGGGCCTGTTTCCACACTGTAGGGATTCTATGATCACCTCTACATCTGGATGACGATGGCCACTCACCATCTTGATTTGGAACTATATTGCCATCCCATCACTGTCACTGGATCAAAATCCTGGAACTCTCTCCCTAACATCAATGTGGTATTCCAACAGTAAGAAGGCTAAAACATTTCAAGGAGGCAGCTCACCATCATCATCCCCAGGACAACACAAGATGAGTAATGAACACTGACCTAGCCAGTGACATCCATATTCTATGGAAATAATAAAAATATGGTTTCAGAAAACAGCACTGCACGTGCACTGCAGGAACAAGTATAGTATAATCAAATTATGGCCTTTTGTTTTACATCAGCTAGTTTGCCCCAGTTCCAAAAATTCAATGTTTATAAGTACAGAAATTTTCTAATCAACCTATTATTCTTTATCTACACATTATTGGTTTAACTTTGCTACATGTGGAAATTTGTGCTTATTGTAATTATGAGTGACAAAATAAAAAAATGATGCCATTCATGATGGTCTCAACTGCCAAACCCAGGTGTTAGTTTACTGGTGATCTACCAACTAAGTTCCATTCAAACAAAACAAAACTACATTCAACTTTTACAGCTGTTCATTCATTGATCAAATTTTATTTCAGTAATACAGCTGATTAAGTACAAGATGATTAGTGAGGGGAAAAAAGTAGCTTCACACCATTTTCACTCAGGCAACTAAATCATGTAGTCCTATTGGCATAATGAGTCATATCTAATTCTCTAGTAGTAAAGCACATGCCAAATATTGGTCTTTGAGTAAGGGAAAAGTCAGCCAAGGCCAGATACAACATTATACCATATAAGGTGTTGAGATTTTTGTGCTTTTATCTTTCAGTTGGAATGCAAGAGTTGGGACGAAAATTAACCTCAATTTGTGTTGAGTATTTTATAGAACTGAACAACTTACTCGTTACACTTGGCCAACTGTATGGACAACCCTGCTTGTTTCAACTAAAACTACGTTTCCCTTAATGTCAAAGTTCCAATTATATTATAGTAAACTTCAAAATGCCTAGTGAGACACCCCAAACACAGCAACCTAAAAGGACAGCTGTGATATCCTGCCATTAGCATATTTAACAAGTTCAAAATTGTTCTTAGAGCACTGTAAAAACATTTAGTAGACACAATTGTACCCACCTCCAGGTGAATTCCATTAACCAATAAGACATGGGTTCTGGACATACTCCCAGATCTATGAGTAGCTAAAGGTAATAAAATGCAGCTCCCCTGGTACTTGAGATGCATTAAATTCAATTTGCTTGCACGCTGTTGGGCAACATAATTTACTGCATCTACAGCTGTATCACTTCTGGGGACATTTTTTTCAAAAAAATCTGCTTTGACTTCATATTTTACTCATTCCATTGGCATTAATCCATATTGCAACCTTCTGCTTTACAACCTGACATATGCATGAATCCCAAAATGTGACCCACCACTTTGTAGGGATTGGTACTGGGATAGTAATAAGAAAATAAAAGTAATAACTGGGTGGTAAGTGGTTTCAAATGAATTTGGTCATAATACATTCAGAAGTTAATATCACATTTAATCTTCTTGAGGCTGTTTACATCAACTGGCATACTTTAGTTAGAGTCTTCTCATTTGCATTTTCACTGGTCTGTAGAAATTTGGCAATTTCTACATGCCACATGAATATGATTGAAGCAAATCCAAAATATTGGCATAACCATGCAAATGGGCACAGGTTTCCAACAGCATTGTCAATTGCAGCTTTCCAAGTTTTCTAAACAGTCTTTCACTTACGGAGCCCGGATATCATCCCAACTACAGTATACCTGTTCAAACCCCGTATCAGTTCACAACCAAGCCACAGCTATCTAACAACCTGGGTTTTGAAGGTTCCATTGTCAAAATTTACATAAGTAATTGTTTTAAACTTTACATGCTGGTAACTTAATGGTACAATTCGAAAATCAATGTCGACATTGGTTATACAATAAAACATTCAACTGTTCTCAAGTCTGCTTTGTGTTTTAAGCATTTGTGATGATTTTTGACAGATTAATTATCGTCCTTCATTTATCCTATTAGGAAAATAAGCCATCCGATTGAATGATCAATACAACTCTAAACTATACAGAGGTTGGTTACAATACGAACGTAGAACAAGAGAAATATGAAGGTCATTGATGTTAGAAATTCCCTGATGTTTGTATGCACTATAAAACATTCATATACAACACAAACAGTGATATCAACCACCATCCAGTCCCTTGTAATCCATTGCATTGTTTTCCTTTGATTGAAAGCAGAGGAAAATAAAGATTTCAAATGAAGAAACAGTTAAAAGGATTATCAGGAGTCTTCCCTTTTATTGAAGCAGCCTTAAAATTTGCAATCACATGGAATAAAGTACAAAAATAAAAAAAAAATCAATTAACACTTTGGACAGGATCGTTCTTCAAAATATCAGTTCCTTATAAGGTGACTGATTTGTGCCTTTCTGGATATTTTTATTCCAAGTTTCCAGCATTTGCATTTTCTGCATGGTTGCGCAACAGAATTATGATTTTACTACCAAAGTTTATGCAAAGAAAGATTATAAAGATTTAGATAATATGGAGTAAGGCATAATAATGCTCCACCGAAGGCAGCTATAGCCTGTCACTCTTCCATAAATTCTTCCAAAAAAAATGTTAGAGATAAGAGAACATCTTTGTACTGAACATTCAAAGCAGTCAACACACCTCAACAGTACTTAATTTTTCGAACTCATTGCTTTGCCTAGATGATAAAATGAACTTTTTTTCCTTGTAAAGTGGGGAATTCCTCTTTTTCACTGCTCTGTATTTTCATATCAGCAAGAAAATCTACCTTTGGATGTACATACAAGTAGCAGTTTAGGATGACTAGTGGCCTGGTTGTCCTTCTGTTGAATTGTACCAGGGCTTTAAGTGGACCTTCAGAACTTGTTAATCAAGGGCACGAACTTATGGTTAAGCTCTGTGCACAGCACACTTGGGCAGACAATCCAGCATATCATCTCTTCAAATTAATATTAGACAATTAGTTGATTAAGTTACTTGCTAATAAAAACTTATATGAATCAAAGATTAATACTGTAATGACAAATAAATCTGGAAGGCTTCAGTTACATGCCTCAAAATGTGAGAAGGTTCATGCAATAATAGATTGTTCCCAAATTATCTTTAAAAACACGAGGGCAATCTAAAAAGAAAAAGATTCTCCAATGGCTCAGTGGGTAAGTCTACAGCATAGTATGGTACTGAGCCCCACATAACAAGAGTTTCCAAACTTCAATTCCCCACTTGTATTAACTTAGTTACAAGTAACCTCAATATCCTTAAAAGTGTTGCGGTGGGAATGCCGAATAGGAGTGAATCTGTGACAGCATAAAGTCCAATTATATGCTCTCCACTTACTTGCCTTTGGTTTCCAGCAGAGATTGGGGGGGTGGGGGGTGTTGGCAATGAGCTGGGGACATGAACTGGTCACTAACTGATTAACTGATCACCATTAGAACAATCAACAACTACCATAAGTTAAGACAAATTCAAATCATTTGCTTTACATTGTTCCTAGAGAAACTGCAGGTAAAATCTGAAGCTCATCTACATTGATAATTTAGTCAGAAGTCACACGACACCAGGTTATAGTCCAACAGGTGAACTGGCTTCACCTAACAAAGGAGCAGCGCTTTGAAAGCTTGTGATTTCAAATAAACCTGTTGGACTATAACCTGGTGTTGTGTGACTTCTGACTTTGTCCTCCCCAGTCCAACACCAGCATATCCACATCAATGATAATTCAGCCACTGTAGTACATGCCATGAGTATCACAGGGAATAAACAAATATGCACAGAACTCCCCATAGATTGCAATATTTAGATCACAAACCCAATTGATTGATCTCTTAATATTTTGAAAATTGCTGTTTTAAACGTTTGTTTCCTAAAGACCCAAATCCATTATTTAAGGCTCCAATATTACACTACAACATTGGTGCAAGACAGTTTTGAAGTTATAATGTAATTCCTGAGAAAACTCTTACCCAATTGTAGAATGGTTTAGAATCAGTGTGCAGATTTAGCTATCAGCCCTGAAACAATGATGCAGCTGAAATGTGAACGCAGCTGTAAACTATTCAAGCCAGTCATGGTGGAATGGCTCTTTCTACACAGGATTGGTGTTCATGGCCGACAGCCTCCACAGGGATCCAACTCATATTAATTCTGCTTCACAAACATCAGCGCTACATCAACATCACAGCATTGGCAGCAAGCTGCCTGAGAACTACAAATAGGCTTACACCAATCAATACCTCTTTACACATTTTGTTAACAAACTCAAATAAACATTAATGGCAGTATCCACAGCTACATTTACAGACCCATAAAGCCTATAAAGACTCCACATTCATAAAAGTTTGACAGCTCCCATAAAAAAAACAAATTGATAATTATCTCCATTTCCCCACAAATATGAGTTACAAATTTTAAAGAATCCAAAAAAATCTATCAAATAAACCTCCAAAAGGGATGTGGAACTGGGAGAGAAAAGGAAGCAGTTTACAAAATGTTTTTTCTAATCTACAATTCAAATCAGCTAGCCATTTGCACCACAATAAAAGTTTCAAATCTATAATACAAAAATAAGAATCAACACAAAATTTATAGTTCTGTTGAAATACAAAGCCTAATTTTGAGATTATTAAACCACTTGACAAATCTATATTCAATGAGATTTTTTGTTTTCAAATTTTCAGTAGACTGGGGGAGAAAAGCAATTTGCATAGTTTGAGTTCATTGTGAACCTGAGGGCCCATGTCAGCACTGAAATATATTGATCATCTTGCTCTCTTCTCCACAAAAGTACTGGATCCCAACCCCAAGTTAGAGGGAAGACTTGGATTTTTTTCCTTTTGTGGGGGTGGGCAGAGGTCACCCAATTTTTTCCTTAGTAATACATTCAACTAACACCCCACTACAAAGATCAGGACAGGATGAGGGTTCTGTGAAACTACACGGTCCATGTAAAATTCATTACACAACTTACTTCAGGGACCAAAAGCCACAGTGCTAGTGGCTGCTACTATGTACATGAATCCCATATTCGAAACCCTGGAAACGTTAACATACTACCAAAGAAGATTTGCAATCAACCGAGTGTGGATCTTTTAGGAAGTTTATTTTCAAGGGCATTCTCAACTGATACTACACAGAGAATCAGATGTTAATTTAAGTCACTCTGCAAAGTTCATCTGTTTTAAAACTGTCAACAGCTCTTCAGAAATCCAACCATTACAATGAATCAAATTTTGCAACACTTCCCCTTCCCACTGCCAGCCTTTTTCAGAAATCTTTCTTTAATTTGTGTTCCAAGAATTATTCCTCCCCTCTCCTCCAGAGTTGTGGTGTTTGCTGTTTTTTTGGGGGGTGGCGGGCAGTTGGTAGAAATCAGACCGAGGAGGAGAGAAGAAATTAGGGTGAAAACTCAGGATGTGAAACAGCTGATTTAACAGCCAAAGCAGACATTAATTCAACCTGACTTTGGCATTCAATATTTTTAAGACACTTCCCCAGATATTATGGAAAACTCATTATATAAAAATCTTCAAGTCAGATACAGTTCAGCACAGTTCTTTGTAAGTGTTGGATTTTATTTAATAAAAGACACCAAAACTCATTCCAACATGTGTTTTAGTGCTTTGCAATTACAACCTTGGAAAACTTATTGGCCTTTACATGATTGCTGACTGCTACATAAAAAGATAACAGAAAGAGAGAGACTGACAACACAATAGTGATTCAATGCTTAATTTGCTATGTTCTATGGTCAGTCTACAGTAGCTGTGAAGCAGTACCGGAAGAATGACAAAATGTGAATTTTCATTACCCAGACAGCAAGACTTAATCCCCACGCCTCTTCAAATCACCCAATGGGTAAATGCATGTTTGCTAATCTGGCAGATCATAGAAGTAAGCCACTTACATCTCCATTTCATCATGCAGTGCCTATGAAATGCAACTAGACAAGTGATAGGGAACATGCAGCCATTATTCTCTCAGCCTTCCCAAATTCAATACAACAGCCCTAGTGACTGCAGAATACCAGATAGCCAAGGGCATCTGCAACCTACTCCCTAACTCCTAGCAAGTGTATGATCCATCGCTAATGAATATTTTTAACATAAATTAGATTGGACTTTGGATGCATTAATGATTCCACAAAGTCAACCAAGTCATTAGGCTCCTTCAATAGCTTTTCTAAGTGAAGAGGCTTCATTTCTAATTCTCTACAAAGAAATCTGTTTCAGAATTGCTTTGAACTTGACATTTGTAAAACTGTCACTTTGGATGCTTGTATAGATTACATAGACATTATTCCTTGAATATAATTCAGGTTATTGATCTGATCTTTCTTGAACAGAACATTGGTACTTGGGCAATAGCAATATTCAAATCTATGAACTGTTTTCATTTCTGGCCTCTGGCTTTCTGATCAAAATGGAGAAACATAGAATCATAGAATGTGACCCACAAAGCTCTGTAAAACCCCAAAATTATAAAAACGATATGGACAAACTCAAACAACACACCTGATTATACCATTGTATAACTCTTGCATTAACAACAGCAGTGAATTTGAAAGATGTATAGACTGCAAATCAGCCTTTACTGACTTTTTTTTATAGAGTTAAATAGAAATTAATAGATTTCAGCACTGTAATACAATAAAGACAGTTTTTGAAGTCACTGAATAACTCTGTATAACTAAAGGTGGGAGGTAGTGATGCCCTTGTAAACATAAAATCTACTTTATGTATTTTGCCCACTTTAAAAAAATAAAAATCATGACTTCAACTAAGTCTTGGAGTTAAGAGCACAACTGCCCCTCTTCCTGGAGAATGTTTCCTGGCAAACGTGGTCAGTTCTGAGAGTTTGGTTTTATGGCATCTAACAAGAAGCTTATTAAAATTGCTTCTACCAACTCTCTGATCACATTGTATTAAGTGCATCACATACAAGCTGATATTCAATCTCCGTCTGGTATAGAGCTTGTTGGCAGCCTCTTGTGCTGCAGCAGTGATGGAACACAAGTTCACGCCACAAACCTCTTTGTAATTAAAAAATTCCAATCTCAACCATGTCACCTAGAGAAGCTTGATGCGAGAATCTGAGCAAAAGGCCACTCATATTTCAGCTAACCATACAGCAGCATGGCCAGGAGGCAGGTTTAGGCATTTCTAGAACTTAACATTTCAAACTAGCTCAACAGAAAATAAAACAAATGCTGCCACAGTTACTTTTAGCTCAGTCAAGACTGAACGATATCTTACAAATTACATCAAATGACTTTTATGGTAAATGGATATATGGTCAGCTGCACAGATTAGGAACATGGCCATTTTCATACAGACAAAGGAGGGAGGATTTAGTGGAACATAGGCCTGAGAAACTGTAAAAATGAAATGTAGCATTTCTTATGACAAATTGGACAAATACACGCAACTCCAAGGTTGCCATTGATATAGTCATGTTAGTTCAGTACATAGCATCTTCTGAGTCACGTGGACAGTTCCAGGATAGGTGATTGAATATGTAACATGCTCAGAGAATCATATGCACAATAAATCATTAAGTTTCAATAACTGGTATTGAATCTTGAGCCATTTGTAGTAAACTACAATAATTACGATCGGAGGCTGATCAATCCAAGTTCAGTATTAGAATATAAATCTCTTCACAGCCAACATTACGGAGAATTTAAAATGATGCTCCTATTGTACTACATGACTCAAACATTTTTCCATGTTCTTCCAGACCAAGATCAGATTTCTCAGTCGAAGATTTTGCTGATAAACAGAACAGGCCAATATGGCTTTACGTTATTGAAATCACAATGGAATTATTGTCGGGGAGAAGAAATGAAAAAGCAAAACTAGCAATTAACCTCCTAAATAAATTTGAATTTTAGCATTAGATACTTTGAAGAAGCAATTCCTTCTCTCCAATTAATGGCCCCAGTTCCTAAGTTACAGGTCCATGTACGATCCTCACAACCAGAACTTCATTTACCATGATTTTCTACTTCAGTAAAACAGGAAAAGTGTTCAAGTGAGACATGTAAATTAACGCCCAAAAGCAAATATTGATACCAATATAATCACAACAATGGGTGAGGGTAAGATGAAATGGAGCTCTTAACGATTAAATCGTGAATTTTCTTCAGCAAAAGGTAAGTTCAAGTGGCTGAAATTAATGAGATCACTGTGCTCTGAGCCAAAGGACAAGAAATGGGAGAGAAATATTTATGAATTTAACCAAGGATAAATGTCACTGAAATGAATGGCATCTGAACTGCATTTTCAGGTCTCTATATGCAAGTCTGCATACATAACAGCTTTTAAGTTTAAATCTAAGCTTTCATATTGGTTTGTACTCAAAAAGGCTTATGGCATGCCAGACTACCTTTCCGTGCATAAAGACATTTATGGCTTGTATCCTATGGCTCAACTGATTTCAGTAGCAGAGACAGATACAGGAAAAGCAGCTTGCAAATAAAAACATTTCAGCACACACTACATTTCACACAAATCAGACCTGAAAATCTACAACACAGCAACGACATAATCAGAACAAATGTCAGTTGAGTACTATAGCTGTGGAAAGTTTTTTTTGGGAGATCTTAATATATAGTATTCTGCTCAGAACCACGGCTTATACATGGGAGGTACCACTGAATTTCAGGCTCTTCAGAAGGGCTTGAATGCAGGAAGGGAAGACTTGGTTCGAGTCTAAATGAATATCTTCATTTCCCATCCCTGCCTTACCTCAACTTTGGGGTCTGTTATGCTATTGAGGTATGTGGCATGGATGCCAGCATAAAAACATAGTTCGAAAGAGAAACAGAGAATAATGAAATTTAAAGGGTATAGAAAGGATTTAAACTAGAAATTCAATGATCCAGAAATGCAGATAGGCTAGATTTTAAAGTGCTTGCTGCACAAATGGTGCACCAACATGCTGGTACACTCTTGGGAGATGGTACAACTCTTTCTAGAAAAGAACAAGATAGATTTCCACCTGTACTGTGATTATAGACAACTCTAAGAGAGTATAGTTGCAGTAGCAAAAAGGCAGATAATGTGGTAAACTTTAAACCTGTTCAAACATTAAGTCTACACAAAGCAAACTTAAGTTTTTAAGACTTGCATGTACCAAAGAGTTAATACAATTCTATCACCATTGTACGCATTACAGCGTGTATATAGATTTTTTTTTTTTAATCCATGATCTCTTTCCATAAACTGTATTTACGTGGGTTTCAATGTGTTACAATACAGGATTGAGTGTCTGAGACTTTGTCATAACGTTATCAGAACCCAATGTGCAATCTTTCCTATCCCGGGTGCAGACACACCCAGCATTTTCTGCACCCTCCCCTACCCTACCCTCCCCTCCAGACATAAGCTGCAATTTGATTGAGAGATTCAGGCAAAGCCGTGCAACAACTCTGCCGTTAATAATACTGTTCATCAGGCACCTAAGCAGAAAGATTTCTTCAACACCATTAATGATGATGAGCCACGGGACTTTTCAGTTAACGTCTAGTGCAGAACCTCAAGGAGGAGAAATGCTGCGTGGGACGTTAATGCCCCTAAACTGATGCAGTACATGCGTCTCACAAAAATGTTCATCACCCCACCAATTATTTTAAATCTCCTTTTTCTTCCATCAGTGATGCATAAGTTTCATTGAGTAATATCCTGAACCAAGAGTTCCATGGTTGTTTTTGAAAAGGGGTTTGGGGGTATTGTGGAGAGAGAAAGATGGGGAGGCTTAGCATCCTCCCAAAAATACTCTCATTTGTACTTGGTCAGCACTTGCACAAGCGCAGTCTTGCATCGAACTTTTTCCTTCCTTCTCCATTCACCTGTTGTCATAGGTTCATACGCAGATGTGCGGGTCTATTTGGGGGCACTGGATACGTTTGCTTTTTGAAAGGCACAGAGCTCACGCCCATAGGGTGTCGGATTGGCAGTGGAGCAGATGCCTCTCCACTCACTGTTACGTCCATCTGTTCCACACCAACATCCATTGGGTAGTCTGAAGATCCACGTTCTCTGGGTGGTTCCATGTTAGCACCCCGGCCCCAGCAGTCAGCAGATGAAAACTTCACTGGGCTGCAAAAATAAAGTGGCACTAAGTGAACTACTCACAGAAAATTGTCTGCTCAATCTGTCAAAAATGAACTTATTAAAGCAGAGAAAATATACTGAGGGAAACCAAACTGGGATCATCCAAAATTTTGTACAGGTTTGCATACAATACCACCTAGATTTCAGGCAATCCCTGTACAAGGTGACCTCTTGTTATAGCCAAGCACTAACCTGAAACAATGATAACCCATGTAAAAAATTCAGTAAAAGAATGCACAAAGCTCAGACAATTTTATGCTTATGCTACTCATTCATTACTTTGTCCAACATAAATACAATATGTAAACAGGCACCTACCCGCCACGCAGGCAAATGGATCACTACGTACTTAACAACCCTTTACACTCATCAACCCAGTCTAGTCTAATATCAAACATTCCCACAAGTTTTTGTCTCTACGACTTGTTCTACAAACAAGTTTCACAGCCTCAGATGTGTCCAAAACGATCAGGTTGAAGTTTTAATAATAATCTGACAGCTTTATGATCACTTTTACCGATTTTGTTGCCAGGATTTATTTAGAATAAAATACTGAACTCACCTGCTGGGACATGAACTCTCATTCTCTACCCAGGCTTGTGAATTATTAGCCCAGTAAGCATCCTCCAATGCGACCTTCGAGATGGACAATAACACAGAATTGCCGAGCAGATAGCCAAGTTCCATACCCATGTAGACGGCCTCAACCATAATCTTGAGTTCATGCCATGCTACATGTGACTACACTATACTGTCCTCTATTTGTAATTCTTCCTTACTGTCCTAGTTTGACACCATCATCTCGATAACTTGTTTTGATCTCTCGACATTAATTAGTTTGTACAGTTTTGGATTACTTGTTACATAGGTTTAAGAGTCACATGCGAGGGTCTAACCAATCATATTATTCCAGCCATTTGGTTTGTCTCCAGCTCCATATTATTTTTACCTTTTTGTAATTACTTCTCTGCCTCAGTTAATCAGATTAAAGGTCATCCCTTCATTGCTATTCAGCTGTTGACACTTTACTTACACCATCTGACATTTTTGATCACCTGCAGAGACTTCTTATTCTGCCTGTCAACACTCCACTCACAACATTTGTATGATCTTTTGATTCCTCTGCCTATAAATTCTGTGCCTGTGGGCTTCTCTTCACTTCACCTGACAAATGAACAGCGCTCGGAAAGACTGATTTCAAATAAACCTATTGGACTTTAACCTGGTGTTGTGACTTCTGACCTTGTCCACCCCAGAGCAATACCGGCACCTCCACATCACAGCCATATCAATGACACTACTATTTATACTGAAATATTACAAAAGTTCAGTATACGAGTCTACACCCAATCCACAGTCAATTCAAATTTCTCTCAAAGATCAACATTGCATAACTCAGCTACACACAGCAACACCACACTTCTGGCCAGAAAGCTGATGATTGGTTAATTCCTTCATTTATCATGCCTGGAGGTACCACTAAGTATCTGGGATACACCGTATGCATGTACTGTGTATCTTGATGTTCCCCACTAAGTATAATTTGCCAGAGAAATAATCAATTTGCATTTGCAAGTTTCATGGAGTCATTTCTGAATTTCTATCAGGAGTTCTGAGAGCTGCAGTTTCTGGCTGTAGAAAATGGCACACCACTTCCCATTTGCTGGAGCACGCGGTTGAAACAAACTGCTTACTGAGTAACTAGACTTTGTTTGTTGCAAAACACACAAATGCAGGTCTTACAGTCACAATCTGACTCAAACTCTCACGGCTAACACAATGGTGTCAACAGAAATTCTGGTTTTCCTTTTGACAGTCAGGAGCTATTGTGGCCAATACAGTTTAGGCAGCAGTGCTTTGCTGTAATCAGTGAACTGGAGACCAAACATGGGACCTTCTCAGTCTCCAGGCCTCGGTGCTCTTCTGATGCTTTTATGCCATTTATAATTTTAATCTGCAATATCTCTCACACTGCTTTATCAACCTTCTGTTGTAGGCAACATTGCTTCATACTTAATTCTCACAGAAATAAAAAGACTGCTGAGAATTTGCTGAATTGTTTAACCCAGGATTACAATGCAAGTGACAAAGTTGCTTATGATTTATTCAGTCGGGGCAGCCATTGCACAATGAACACATACATTTCTCTGATTTGCATCCTTTATAGTAATACTTTTGCAATGAAGACCCAGAGAAGATTAAAAACCTTTCCTCAGAATGACACCAAAAGTACATGTATTGATTTTGTTTCACAAAATAAACTATTCAAATTCATTTTGCCCTGACTGTTAAAAAATAGAATGGGCCCCTGCCAGCTGTGTAATATGATATATCTCCACTCAGGAAGCAATAAATTTATTGTAAATGTCAGCCATGCTTGTAAAAATTTGATTGCTCATAGTCGTACATCAGGATAATCTTTGCATGGTTCCACTCCCTTTGTGGAAAGGGCCATGGATTAGGGATAAGGCTAAAGCATCATATTATTGTTTCAATCACATCATTTTGAAGTGACTGACAAAAGACCAGAGACAGCGCAAGGGCAATCTTTTATATGTGGTTAAAAACTTGGGATGCACTGTTGGAAAGATTGGTCGAAACTGATTCAGTAGGAGCTTTCAAAGCGAAATTGGCCAAATAGTTGAGGGAGGAAAAAAAAAAGAGGGAGATGGAGCAAGAGCTGACGCAAACTCCACAGGCTGAATGGCTTCCTGTGTTATAATTTATTTAATCCCATTTAACTAGAGTCTACATAAATTCAGTGAATCCAATCTACATAACTGAAATCCTCCCTGTAATAAGTCTTAAATATCACACTTCCTAGTACATAAAGGCATAAAATTACTTTTGAATGGCACCTGAGGATTTTCAGTCCTTGATTCTGAACAGACCATCAAGAATTTTTTTTCAAATTCTAGACCCACTTCTAATCTTTGTTTCTACACATAAACAAGATGCATCTAAATACATATTGTCAAAGCACTTTACCAGGGCAAGAAATACCAAAGTAAAGGAAAACAAGATTCATAATACAAAAGCAAAGTGCTGATTGTCAAGGGAGTAGATTCTGCTTGTTGCAATGCAATAAATGATGCACTAGTTAATGACGACTGAAAGTTAACTGCTGAACTTTGATCACAAATTCCTCTATCAAAATAAAGAAGTTGGCTTCACCTATCTAGTACTTCAGCACATACATCAAATTCTTTTCAGCCCTCCAACACTTTGCTTCACATCTTTTATCAATGCATTTTCTAATATGCTTGTTGTCAATAAATGTCTCAATCATAAGGGCACCATTTCACATGGTATTCCCATCCTGTTCAGTAGTCCTTATTCTTGCCCTTCTCTCTTGTTCTGGACCACTACCAAAAGATCTGCTCTTTCTAGGACTAGGATTCCTTTTGCAAGTCTGATTTTCTTTCACCCCAAGGGCCATCTTCACTTCTACAACAATTCTTTTTCTCGCATTCCACATCTTCACCCCATGTTGTCAATCCATGGATCTTATCTCTTGCTCTTTACATAGTACATTTAGTCAAAGCTTGCAGATTCCTTCTGGGATTTCACTGTTCTTCCTGTAATGGTGGCATTCTTCCATTCATCGGCCCTTTCTGGCATGCATGTTACATTGGCTTGGACATCCTTGTTCTACATCTATGTTCCACTTTGGTCAGATCCAGTCAGCTCTTAATTTGCCATAATCCGGTCTTTATAATTATCCAATGTGAAGTGCACGGTCATTCAACACTTCGTTTAATTTGTTCAGATTTTGTAGGTGTGCAATCACTGCCAATTAATGTTGAGGAATGTACACCATTTGGTTCTAAACTGTAAGATTATTGATTTCCACCACTGTGCATCACATTTCCCCAAACTTCCAAATCTTTTTCCTTCCTATTTGTTACACATCATGTCCCTTAGATTAAAATTCATTTCCGATAGTCTTATATTATGCCACAAGACTTGCCTAATTTCTTCTGAAAGTTCAGCCCTAACGTACATCTTTCCTTCCTGGTGCAGGGCATTCAAGTGCTCAGAAAGCTAATTATAAATCCTTCCAAAGTTAGGGGAAATCACTCATTGCCAAAGGATATTTTGGAATTCTCCTAAAAACCAATTGCTATGGAGAAAGGCCCCAAACCATTTTCAGTCAGTTATTCAGCTGGACTGCCCATGTCAGAGCAGATAATAATTTACAATATAGTTAGTCCACTAGGATATTATAAAACATCTCCTATTATCAGGGATTTCATTCACACACTACATTACTGAAGGGATTTTCTACTGCTGTGTTCATTATGATAATGTCCATTTTTTCACTAATATATCAATAAGTTCCTCATAACTATCAGTTAAAACTTTAGCCAGTACTCCCAGTCCAATCCCTATTCATTTCTCAATTATCCTGTATGCTATTAATCTCTTTTCTTTACTCAAAATTATTGTAGACAAATTAAATCTAATAGCCATGTCTATAAAGTACAAGATGCTTTTCTTTTCTTATCCCATATCCTCAAGTCCATTCCTCCAATGGAGGCTTTTGTTAATTGGAGAGACTGTGCCCTTTATTTCCTAAATATACAGATATCACATATTGCTCATCTCTTTCATAAACTCCCACTGTCCCTTACTTATGGGGGAGGCAATGGCCTAATGGTATAACTGCTGGATTATTAATCCAGAGATGCAGGCTATGTTCTGGGAACCAAGGCTCCAAACCCACCACGGCAGATGGTGGAATTGAATTCAATAATACAAAAAAAAAGCTGTAATTAAGAGTTAATGTTGACCTTGAATCCATTGTCAATTGTCAGGAAAAACCCATCTGGCTCACTAATGTCCTTCAGGGAAGGAAAGCTGTCATCCTTAGCTGGTCTGGCCTACATGTGATGCCAGACTCGATGTGGTTGACTCTTACTTGCCCTATGGGCAATTAGGGATGGACAATAAATGCAGGTCTAGCCTGTGATGCCCTCATCCCGTGAATGAATAAAGAAAAACTCTTGCATCCTCCAGTAAGAATTTTAGCCTGTGAGAAGACACATTGGCAAACTGCAAATTTCAATTAGCCTTAATAATTAACCTTCTCTTTTAAATTTCTGATGCTAATAACATCTGATTAATACTTTCCTTAGAGAAGTTGGGTTTGTTGAAGGAATAGTATAACGTCTGGATTGTATTAACTACAAATCCAGTGACTTTCCAAAGAAATATGCAACCAAACAAGTCTGCAACAAAAACACTGATTACTGGACTAAGCATGATGTTAGTACAATTCACTCAGTCAGAATCAGTATCACCATCTTCTTTCGCGCCTTCCATATCATGTATAACTTCAAAAACTTTATTCCATTTCCGACAATTCATTGCATAAACGATTTTCCAAGTTGCATCTAAAACACATATTTGACCATATAGTAGGATATTCCGAGGCTGATTCTCTCCAATTCCTGATGTTGGTTTTAACTGCCAGGGTATCACTCCTTTTAGTTATAATTCTCCTTTCATGCTGACATTTTCAGACTACATCCAAGTGATCGTCCTTTGCCACTACCATTGAAATCCGTTATTACTGCCATGTTACTGCTGAATGCCCCATTTGAGACACGAAGGCCACTGACAACTAATGTATTCAGAGGAAGATTTTGTTTTTGTTGAAAGGCTTATGACGTCTGTTCCAAAAGTACATGCTGTTCTGAAAATCCAACTTCAGTTAACAGGAGTCCAAGCATGTTTAATAACTAAACAAAGTCTGACAATGCCTCACATGCATTAATAGGTGACCTTTCGTATAACTTGTGTCAATAAATTTTAATAGAATTTCCAAAGCTTCTTCGTGTCTAATTCTTGAACCTTTACATTAGGCTTCATCTTGCTTCTAATTAGGTAGAAACAATACCAATACCAAACAGTACCAATACCTTACTTTTTTTTCTTGGCAAACATAAATAATGTCCATATATCCACTTAACTGACATTTAGTTTCAGTTATTCTTCTCCAAAGTAAATCCAATTACAAATTTTGGTGCGAAAAGAACTCCATTTCCAATCTTCACCTTTAGGCAACCATCATAAACTACCAATGTCAACTTAGATCTCAGCCAGACAGAAGAGAGACAGAAAATCAAGAAACCTTACTTTGTAATTGAAGTAATTAACTGCTCAGTCTTACAGTTCCATCCATACACCAGTTCCTACTTGCTCCCTCTTTGCATCTGATCAATTAATTCCAAATGTCTGCCGAGTAATTTTTCTCTTCATTCATTAACAGGATGAGGGCATCGCTGGTTAGGCAGCATTTACTGCTTATCCCTAATTGCCCAGAGGGAAGTTCAGAATCAACCACTTTGCTGTGGGTCTAGAGTCACATATAGGCCAGACCGGTAAGGATGGCAGTTTCCTTTCTAAAGGACATTAGTGAACAATCAGAAAATCATTCGATTCTTAATTCCGGATATTTTTTATTGAATTCAAATTCCACCATCTGCTGTGGCAGGATTTGAACCCAGGTTCCCAGAACATTTTGTGGGTCTCTGGATTAACAGTCCAATAATAATACCACTAGGCCATCGCCTCACCTTATGCTATATTAACACTGCACTCCGATAACATAAAGAGATCTTGCATTTCATCACAAGTATGGCATAAACTAGTTTCAATGCAGTCAATGAAAATGCAATACAAACAAAAATAAATTCAAATCTAGTGTGCTAAAAATCTACAGCAAGTGATTTCGTATCTGAATTCGAACAAGAGCTTCAAGATCAGTTTGGACTCTTTAGGAGAGCAGAGTCAGAAAATATCAATATATAATAGACTGGCTACGGAAAAGAGCTGGTATTTATTTATGCATTCAAGGAAGGAATTTACCAATTTTTAAATATTTTACACATTGCACTTTTATTCTTGATTTCCAGCATTCCGTTACATAGCATATCATTTTACAGGAGACGGAACTTATGACTAATATGAAGGAATTGTTCTTTAGATGGTAGCTAAGTGTTTTGTCAGAATATTAAACATAGTAAGGAACATTTGATTACCTGACTGGAGTCCTAGGGCTGCCAATAAATCTGCGAGGTGAACGGATTTTTGGCTCAAATGAGAATTTTTCTTTGACGCTTTCCAGTACTGATGGAGCCACATATGTGAATCCCTGAAAATGGAGAAGACACGGTCATACAGTTTCACTCATTCTCTCACAAAAAGGTAGAGTCTTTTTGGACTGCAATTCCACAAGCAGCTCCAGTGCCCATGATATCTCTCCCATGTAGGTATTCTTCACGTGCACCAGGGTAGCAATATGATAAGCTCGGCAACCACAAAGGCACCTGATCTGGACCTTGCCTAAAAACTAATCACCTGCACTTTCCTCAGAAGTAATTAGATATTTTTAGAAGAACTTTGGTTCATCTTTTGCCCCATTTGTCTTTCATTCCCCTCTACTGTGACAAATGCCTAGGAAAATATCCCAAAAGATACCGTAGATTTTTTTATTTGTTCATGTGATATGTGTCATTTATTGCATATCCCTAGTTGCCCAAAGGGCAGTTATGAGGAAACCACATTGCTGTGGACCTGGAATCACATAGACCAGACCAAGTATGAATGGCATACAGAGACATTACAACCCAGATGGCCTTTCACATAAATCAAAGCAGTTCCAGGGATCCCACTGACGAGCTTTTTATTGAAGATTTTTGTTGATATCACAAGTCACTATCTGCTATGGTGGATTTGAAGCCATATCCCCAGAACATTAGCTTGAAGTTCCTGATTACTATCCCACTGCTTCCTTCTGTATTTCATTCCTCTGCTCTCCCTCTCTCCTCTTTGAAAACTTATTTAGCCTTATGAATAACAGGGTTATTACTGTAGAGGATTTTAACTTTCCAAACACAGACTGGGACTACCACAGTGTTAAGGGTTTGGACGGGCAAATTTGTTAAGTGGATAACGAAAATTTTCTGATTCAATACACAACAACGTTGTTGGGAAATAAGGCAGGCCAGATGACTAAGATGTCAGTGGAGGAGCACTTTGGGCCGGTGACCATAATTCTATTATTTTTAAAATAGGTGATGGAAAAAGATAGACTGGATCTAAAAATTAAAGTTCAAGTTGGAGGAAGGTCAATTTTGACAGTATTAGGTAAGAACTTTGAAAAGTTGATTGGGGGTGGATATTCACAGGTAAAGGGAAGGCTGGAAAATGGGAAGCCTTCAAAAAAATAAAAAAAGAGACAAGTCCAGAGACAGTAGGTTCCTGTTAGGGTGAAGGGCAAGGCGGGTAGGTGTAGGGAATGCTGGATGACTAGAGAAATTGAAGTTTTGGCCCAGAATAATAAGGAAGTGTAGGTCAGGTACAGACAGCAGGAATCGAATGATTCCCTCGAAGAGTATTAGAAGCATTAGGAGTATACTTGAGGGGGAAATCAGGAAGGGAAAAAAAAGGACACAATAGCTGTGGCAAAGAGAGTTATGGAGAATCCAAAGGGATTCTACAAATACATTAAAGGATAAAAGGGTAAATAGGGAAAAAATAGGGCCCCTTAAAGATCAGCAAGGCCACCTGTGTGTGGAACCATGAGAGATGGAGGAAGATACTAAAGGAGTATTGTGCATCAGCGTTTACTGTGGAGAAGGATACGGAAGATAGAGAACTTGGAAAATAAATAGCGACATCTTGAAGAATGTCAAATTTTAGAGGTGGTGGTACTGGACATTTTAAAACACAAAGGTGGATAAATCCCTGGTACCTGGGCAGGTGTACCCTAGGACTCTGTGGGAAGCTAGGAAGAGATTACTGGGCCCCTTGCTGACATACTTGTATCATTGATAGCCAAAGGCAAGGTGCCAGAAGACTGGAGATCAGCTAACATGGTACCACTATTTAAGAGAGGTGGTAAGGAAAAGCCGGGAAACTATAGACCGGTGAGCCTGACTTTGGTCGTGGGCAAGTTGTTGGACAGAATCCGGAGGGACAGGATTTACACATATTTGGAAAGGCAAGGAATGATTAGGGATAGTCAACATGGCTTTGTGCATGGGAAATAGTGTCTCACTAACGTGATTGAGTTTTTTGAAGAAGTAACAAAGAGGATTGATCAGGGCAGAGTTGTGGACGTGATCTATATGGACTTCAGTAAGCTTTTGACAAGATTCCTCATGGTAGACTGGTTAGCAAGGTTGGATCACACGGAATAGAAAGAGAACTAGCTATTTGGATACAGAACTGGCTTGAAGGTAGAAGACAGAGGGTGGTGGTGGTGAAGGGTTGCTTTTCAGACTGGAGGCCTGTGACCTGCAGTGTGCCACAACAATCGATGCTGGGTCCACTGCTTTTCATTATTTATATAAATGATTTGGATGTGAACGTAGGAGGTTTGGTTAGTAAGTTTGCAGAGGACATCAAAATTGGGAGGTTTAGTAGACAGCAACGACAGCTACCTCAGAGTATAACAAGATCTTGATCAAATGGGCCAATGGGCTGAGGAGTGCCAGGTGGAGTTTAATTTAGATAAATCTGAGGTGCTGCATTTTGGAAAGGCAAATCAGGGCAGGACTTATACACTTAATGGCAAAGTCCTAGGGAATGCTGCTGAACAAACAGACCTTAGAGTATAGGTTCATAGGTCCTTGAAAGTGGAATCACAGGTAGACAGAAGGCAGCGCTTGGGTATGCTTGCCTTTATTGATCAGTGCATTGAGCATAGGGGTTAGGAGGTCATGTTGCGGCTGTACAGGACATTGGCTAGGCCACTATTGGAATACTGCATGCAGTTCGGATCTCCTTGCTATAGGAAGGATGTTGTGAAACTTGAAAGGGTACAGAAAAGGATGTTGCCAAGGTTGGAGGGTTTGAGCTATAGGGAGAGGTTGAATAGGCTGGGGCTATTTTCCATGAAGCGTCGGAGGCTGAGGGGTGACCTTACAGAGGTTTATAAAATTATGAGGGGCATGGATAGAGTAAATAAACAAGGTCTTTTCCCTGGAATGGAGGGAGTCCAAAAGTAGAGGGCATAGTTTTAAGGCGAGAGGGGAGAGATTTAAAAGGGATGTAAGGGACAACTTTTTTGTGCAAAGGGTGGTGTGTCTGTATGGAATAAGCTGCCAGAGGAAGTGGCGGAGACTGGTACAATTAGAACATTTAAAAGGCATCTGGATGGGTAAATGAACAGGAAGGGTTTACAGGGATATGGGCCAAATGCTGGCAATCGGGACTGGATTTATTTAGGATAATCTGCATGGATGAGTTGGATCAAAGGGTCTATTTCTGTGCTATATATCTTTATGACTCTTATAAATCTTGAAACTGGTTCAGGGATCAATATTAGCCAGGACACTAAGAAAAACTCTCCAGTTCTTCAAGAAATACCTTGGAAGTTTTTATGTCCATCTAAGATAACAAAATGAAGCTTCAATTTGATGCTCTGTCTGAAAGGCAGCAATCCAGGTCTTGTGACCTTCCCTCAGTACTGATCTGATGTTTCACTCTGGATTATGCACTCAATCTCTGAAGTTTCTGACACAGTGCAAGTGTGCTAACTCTAAATCAAATCTAAAAACTCATGCAGTTCATCATTTACCACATAATTTTATGACTGAATATTTTCAAAGGAACTGGAGCATCCTGGACCTGAAACCGATGGAAATGTTGAAAAGTCCTCTAGTATGCCTGACTTAAAAGTAGTAAGGCATATAATAAGAACCTTGGCATAATTAGATCAAATAACAAATTTAACACTAGTGAAAAATAAAATTTAAAACAAAGTGGATACATTCAATTGCAAACAATTTTAAACAATCATGGTAGACTTACAGAACAAAACTGCTCACTCTTTAAAAACAACTGGCAAAACAGTAAATGTGTCACCTTGCCAGCAGCAGATGCTCAAGATCAATACTAAGTACAACACTGGAACAGAGGAGGGAGTGTTTTACAAAATGTTTAACTTATTCCTGCTATACTACTCCTGGTGCTAACAGATCTTACGTTCAGACTGCAATGCAGCAAAGGATCATGGCATATGCCTGCATTTTATAATCCATTTGTACTTCTTCACATTCCTTCTCAGGATATTTTCTCTATTCCTTGCTCATTCATGTTTATGTAGCTTTTCCTTAAGTACATCTATACAAGCTTCCTTAACTACTTCCTTTGTCTAGTGTCAACACTTCAAACTTCTCATTAACTTTACAAAAAACACACTAATTACCTCAAACAGCAGAGGCATATGGTATATTGAAAAAGCTTACCAGGAAGACCTGATTGGCACTTTCGCTGAGGGTTGAGTCATCAGGGCTGTCAACAGGTGTCTGTCGTGTGAACTTTGAATCAAACTGGCTAACATCATCATCTGATTGCTAAAGAGGAAAAAAGTCATGATTCATTCAGAATTAGGTTACTAATCCTTAGGATCTTCTCATCTTTTGTTTTCCATTCATCTTTCTGGAAAACTCAGCAAAACTCAGAACAAAAGGAGTACTTTGTTTACATACAGCCTGCATTAACATCAGGCAGAACAATTATCTTGGTGCATAAAAGATCAGCAATATTGAAACACTACATTGGGACCTGCAAATAAAAAGTTAATGCCATTTACATGCAAGTTCAATTTACTGCAACTTTTCACAGCTACAGCTGCTTCTTACGACAAAGTGAAATGAAACACGCCCAACCTGCACTAGTGTGATAAGAGGGAGAAAAAAATCCCATAACACTTCTACATTCTTTCCTCAATGTTATTCAGTGAACAGTTTCATAGATGGGATGGTATCTGTTTTACTTATTAGTCTGTACGCAGTTAATTCATTTCAGCTTCTGTAGTAGTTGAATAACTAAATAGATCGAAGTACAATTTACAAAATCCTCAAACCTAAGTACTTATACTTACTTCTATCTGATGTGTGCATGTATTTTGTGTTTTTTTTAAAAAAGGGTTTGAACAAAGATAACATTTAACAGCTAACATTCAGACTAAAGGAAGTCATGGATGAGTCACTAAGACAACAACATACAGAAGTACTGATTTTGCACAAGTTCAAATTCTCAGTGCTTAGCACTGCTGCCTCTGTGCCAGGGACCCGGGTTCGATTAAGCCTTAGACAACTGTGTGGAGTCTGCATGTTCACCCCGTGTCTGCATGGGTTTCCTCTGGATGTTCCAGCTTTCTCCCACAGTCCAAAACTTGTGCAGGTTAGGTGGGTTGGCCATGCTAAATTGTCCTGCGGTGTCTAGGGATGTGTAGGCTGGGTGGGCTGGCCACGGTCAATGTGAGGTTACGGGGATGGAGTGGGATGTTCTTCAGGGGGTCGGCGTAGACTTGATGGGCTCTTTCGGCATCGTAGGGATGATATGATTACAATTCTAGGATTTTAACTTTTGTAACAATTTTTACAGTTTCTAACTTAAAAATGTGCTCTAAAATTGTTTGGACTCCAACTTAACGTGTGGTATTTTTATTTGTTCTTAAGATGTGGTAAATATTGAGAAAGTTCAATTGATTGTCTATCCCTAATTTCAAGGGACTATGATTTGCCAGGCCAGTTCAGATAACATTTAAGTACAACCCTTGCAGTGCAAACTAAGTCACGTTTTTGCCAGATAATGTAGGGCATCAGCAAACTAGCTATGTTTTACAACAGTTTGGCAAACTTTCAATTCTGGTGTCAAATTACCAGATTTATGGAATCCAATTGCGTAACCTGCCAGTGTGGAATTTGAACTCAAAACATCTTGCTGTTAGGCTAGTCTCATTTCCATGCTCAAATGCTTAAAAGTGGTGTGAATTTGATTTCACTGGTAAGACAGTTCCTTTGGCTTTGAAATAGGGCTCTAGTGGAAGACAGCTCAATTCATAGGATCTTCAACATTGGACACTTCTACTGAATAGCACGGGACCTTAAAAATATCAAAGCAACCCCTCAAATTATTCAGGTATATGTAGGCTTTAGTGCTGCCAACGACGCAAAGCTGTCATGTAAGTTTCTGAATTCAAGCCCTATTTTAAGGGCACAAGTATATAATATGCACACGCAGGCCACCGCAGAACTCTCTTTCAGACGAGACATGAAACCATGGCCCAGTCTGCCTTTCTGGTGAAAGATACCATGGCACAATTTTAAAGTGGAACAGGAAGCTTCTCTTAGGTGTCCAGGGCAACATCCATTGTAAATCAACATCAGTGAAATAGATTATCTGCTCATTATCCTAACGCTATTTCTGGAATCCTATTGCGCAACATTGACAACTGTATCCACATAACCATAGGGACTACACGAAGTGCATGGATCATTGCAGTACAAGGTCCTTTGGGGTTTCACAAGGGCACAAAATGTGCTATACAAAAACATGGCTTTCTGTGGAAGTATACACTTCCATCATTCAGATGAGATTTTAAACTGAGGCCTTAGCTGCCTCCTTACCTTGACAGAAAAAAAAGTTTTCCCATTGTTTAGGCTAATATTTATTGTTCAACCTTCAGTGAAACAGATTATCTTGTCATTTATTACATCATTGTTTGCAATTCCGTGCGCATATTTTTCTGCCACACTTCAAAAGTATTCCAGTGGCTCTGAAATGTTTTAGGACATGCCAAGGTCAGTAAACGCCAATACCACTGCAAATAATTGAACATAACTTGAAGGAGCACAATTTATGTTTTTATTAATTTATTTCTCCCTCAGATTAAAAAAAAAAACAGATTTGACTTGGCAAACTCCCCAAGAAACCTGCACGCAGTTGGGTTATACAGACATGGAATATGTCAAGTATGATGCAACATCTATGTTAAAGGTGCTTAATCTCAACTCCAGTGGCAACACAGGCATTACAATTTCCCTCAGCACCCTGGTTTAGAGATGAGGAAAAAAAAGATTCTTTTTTCCCCCATAAGTATTTAGCATCCCTTGCTCAAAGTACGCTTGTGAGAATATGGACATCTCAACTGTGTTGCCTCCACAATGTCAAATGTCAACTGACATGCACTGGACGGGGTCACACAAGACAAATGATGGAACACGGAACCAGAAAATGTTTGGGACACCAGGAGTCAAGATCAAAACACAATTAAGGAAGAAAGGAGACAGAGTATGATTACAATTACCAGAAATGGCTTGAAAGGTGGCTCAACTCTCCGAGCAAGTAGATCCTCCCAGTTTGTGTGTCTGAAGAAAGGATGAGCCTGCATTAGAATGAATTGAGTTATTAATATAAATAGAATTTCAAATCTAAAATCTCATAAAATCAGCACATGCAACATTGAATTTGTACTCAAAGATGGATTCCTTGGATAGAAAGTATCAATTAACTTAGCTCCCTCGCCACTTCCAGGGACTTGTTTTACACAAATTGGGTATTTACTGGTCTACTTAAGAGTGGGAAACCCTTGAAGTAATTAATTGGCTGTGAATTACTTTAGGACATCCTGAGAAACAACATTTGGCTTATATAAATTCATGTTGATATTATCTAGATAAAGACCAGTAATTTTTCTTTCGGAATCTGAAAATTCAGGTATTTACCACAGAACAAAAGAATTACTAAAAGCAACAAAACTCATTGTTTAAATGAAACTAATCACTGAAAAATTCAAAGAATATGAATACTATCACTATCTTACAATGAATCATGTTACACCTATTAACAGAACATTGAATACCATTTATTTTTCAAACCAAAATTAACTCCAATTTCCTTCAACACCTTTTCATTTTATACCCCAAAATCAATGTACTTATCAAAAAAAATCAGAAAATTAATCACCTGCTCAGAGTACTACTTCAAAGATTTGAGTAAGGCTTGATTTTTTAGGCCTTCCACTTACTTCTGACAAGGTCTTCCCTTCAAATCTTCTCCAACCATCCCAAAGTCAGACTCCCTATTCACACAGCATCACTAGCATCTCACACATTGTCACCTCAGGTCATAACTCACTGGTTCTGGTATTCCTAAACAATGTAGTCTTGCATGTAAAACTCTTCCCAACTTGGCTATCCCAAGAAGTTCAACAAAATCAGTTAGCAAGATGTTTACACTCCTTTAGCAAGTATACAGCATTTCCATTGAACGGACGCTGGGCATCTAGATTGTTCTAAACTAAACCTGCTTCCAAGAGAATCACACCAAATGACCTACTCATCCTTATCCAATTCTAGTGGTTGTATGTTTTCATCACCTAGGTGGGTTGGTCACAATCATTTACTGTAGGTATGGTGCTCACAATCATTTACTGTAGGTATGGTGCTTTACCAGAAACCTTAAAGACAAACATAAAGGGACCACCATACTCAATGTTTGATCATTTACGTACAAATATATACTTAACTTGTTGTGAAGAACATTTAGGAACTGGAGCCATATGGTGACTGTGAGGTTACAGTTAGTTGTACCTTGCCCCAAGGAACAAGTCATGGCCCCCAAATAGCCACATTAAGGATTATGTATTTTACCTTTATCTCCAAAGGAAACATGCATCTGAGACTTAGTGGCTTCCTTACAAAGAAAACAATAACAAATTTACTGGATTTTTAGCCCAGGACATTGCTGTAATTCATTAAAGGCAAATTACAAAAGTACTGCTCTAGAAGATTTAAACTGTCTCCATTCTAGACTGCAGTTTTTTGCCTGGATTAGCCCAAAAGAGGGAACACATTAATAAATGTGAAACACTAGGTTTTATTTCCAGTTTGAACTGAGAACAGGCACTATAACGAGCATCTGTGGCCATGATGTAGAGGAAGATAAGAGAAAAATCAGTTCAGCTTCTAACTCTGGACAGCAATGAACTTGAAAGATTAATCTCAGCCTCATGCATCTTCCCCAAACGAACTACTGCGTCACCCCTAAACAACTATCCACTAGCTCTATTGTCTGGATTTTCTCCAACACCATTCAACACCTTGCTTTTCAAAGGTTTATCTAACTCCCTTTTAAGAACTAATATGGATTCTACTTGCAGTAGGGCATTCCAGGTGTCAAAAATGCTTACGCAATTCTCTTGATCTCTGCTCATTTCATAAGGATCCTACATTTATGTCCTTTAGTTACTAACTCAACTACAAAAATAATTTTCTCATGATTTATTTTATCAATTTTTAATAGCATTACTGAACAACCATAAACACTACCTTTCTCAAGCAGCAATTCTTCATATATGAACTTGTGAATGTTGTAAGCTGATCATCCTTTGATGTCCTAAGATTCTCCCATTTCTATCACGTGTAACTGAACAGCAATCACAAGTGGATTCAATTTTTCTCATGCACAGCCACCAACGACATCATCCCATTTGCATTTAACATTTCAGAAAAATTGGGGAGCTTTTGTCTGATGGCTTAATTTTGTCAAGTAATACAGGAATAGCATCTAAGATTAAAATTAAAGTTATAACAACCGTTAACAATGAGCCCTTCTTTCTTCCTCAATCGACTTTTCTTAGGCACAATGCGAGAATGTTTGTTTAAACAATTAATCCTCCTCAAAGAAATTAGCTGGATATGGACTCTATCCCAAACATGGGCAAAAATCCAATTAACAGGTGGAACTGATTTTCATGCTAAATTCAAAATTTGTTCAGAATATTAAGGAATGGCATTTGCATCAATCTTAGTGGCAGTAGTTTTTAGTGGCAGTAATTTTTAAACCAAAAATAAGATTGTGAAACATTAGTATTAAGGATGGCATTATCTGCCAATAACTCATCTGTCCCTGACTAGTGAAGCTTGTTAATTACTTAAGCCAGTTTTTGTCTTAGGTCAAGCCATGTTTGGAAAACTAAGGATTGCCAGGATACAAGAATCTAGAAATTAAACCTTAATTTTCTGGTGCTGACTCATATGAAGGTCTCTGCTGCAAACACACCTGGACATCTGCTGCATCCCCAACTCCAGCTCCAAGGCGTGAAGCAGCATTCCTTTTTAGCAGCTAAAAGCAAAACAAATGAAAGTACAGACTTCAACAATGAGCTTTACCTTATTTGCAAGCTAGCAATGAATTTCTGAAAATGTCCAAAGAAATAAGCAATTTTCATTAAATAAGTGTGCAGTCTCCCAATATCCAAATTCAATATTCAGACTGTGACCAATCATGTCAAAATTTCTGACACTGTGCAGAACCTGGTGCTTCAACAGTAGCTGTGAACAGAACATGCCCCACATTACTAGATCTTAACTGATAGTCTTGATGGAATAATGTGTTCCAGACTTCCCAGTTCACGTTCCTACATTGATATCACTTACAAAGGTTTAATTTGTCAAGGCGCCGTATCAGACTCTCTCAATTTTGCAAAGTTCTTTTCAATACATCGATTTCAATTCTATCCTCTGGTCACATCCTTAAAGATCATCATTAACATAAAAAAAGCTGAAGTGGCCTTTGAGATGAGAGCAGTTCAGCTTCTGGAATAGCAGCTTTCAGGTGAATCACATCAGGTTGAACGGTGGTTTAAAGGTGATAATGAGAATAAAATAAATGAAGAAGACGTACTCAAAAGCCCTGGTGACTCATAGAACAATGGAATGAAGATGGACAAGTGGATATGACTCAACTAAATAGCAGAATAAACTTGCAGGGCTCAATGAATGCAAGAATGTGAAAGTGACAACCAATGAAGGCAAATAGTTCACAGCTTTAAGATCCTAGTATTACTCAACAAGCACACTAACATCAAAATGACACTCGTTTTAAAAATACTGTGAATTGAAACATAGGATTGGTATGGTAGTTGAAACATGTAGCTTTTGACTTGCATTAACTGGATACATCTGTGCTCAAATTCAGGAAACATGGAGATTCCAATATGACTCCATAAGTTGAAAACTAGCTTCTGCAAGAGTTACCTGATTTGGCTCACTCTTCCATCTTATATTACACAGTACTGGAGTAAACCACTTTAACTAATCAAACCAGTCGTAAAGGATGAATCTCCGATCACTTTAATTTTGTTAACTTTTTCTGCCAACAATCTAACATCAAACTATCTTAAAGTAGGAAGACAATTGGACAGATACCTTTTTAAGAAGATCTCTGGCTTCCTGCGTGAGGTAGGGTGGCAAATTGAGTTTACACTTCAAGATCTTGTCAATTGTCTTCTTCCTGTTCTCTCCAGTGAATGGTGGCTAAGTAAAATCGAAGAAACACACCAACTCAAAAAATTTAAGAAGTTTTGTTTTAAAATTAACTTCAGAAAAGATCAAGAATTTCCAACCAATAATTAACAACTGACAAGATAAAAGCTTGAAATATCAAGGCAAATATTATTCAGTTGTATATTATTGTCTCTCATGTTGTCAAAGTTACTGGTTTAAGTTCCCCATTATATTTTGTCATCATGCAAATCTCCATTTCAGAAGGAATGGGAAAGCAAATGATGCTCCAGTCCATCCTGTTTTTCAGGAAGTTACCAAGAGCCATTCAGATGCATTAGAAAGTTAAATCACTCATTCACGTCGTTCACCCCCTAAGCCCCACCCCCAATGCACAAGTATTAAACAGAATTCACCCAACTTTTTCATTTGCTTGGAAATAGTTTTAGTGATATCAAAAGACAATTGCAGAAGGCTAAAAATGAAGTCAACTCCCATCATATTTTCTAAAAATTTTAAAAATCATGTCACTATTATCAAAGAAAATAGCTGGACTACAAACAAAAATGATTCTATATTTGATCATTTTCTGTTTTATCTGTAGCATGTATTCTTAGGCTTGCGCTTTAGAACTGTTCTGTCAGCATACTTTTGTCTGTGTTTTGGGGATTTAGTTTATGTCTGGACTGGAATCTTTAAAAGTGAACTAAACAAAACCAAGACTATGTGAAGGTGATTTAAAAAAACATTAATTGAAGACAAAACATAACAAGTAATCCTAGAATCGAAAGGATATCATACACTTTCAGAATTCTTAGCAGGAAGGCTATAGAAGGTGGAAGAAAAATCAGGCATTTTAAAGTTACCTGCAGCAATACTTCAGAATATTTTGAATAGCCATTACACCAACATGAGATACAGAACCTTAGGAATGAGGATAGAACCTAGAATAAAAGCCTAACTACACCTGCATTTCTTATTATACAACTTCTTAAAAAGGATGTAATGTTATTTAAATGTTGCTAATGTAACTTTATTTTGAATACAATTATCATAGCCAAAGGATGGAGCATTAGCCCTCTTAACCGAGTTCCAATGTTGGGAATCTGAGATTTGTGCAAATGAATGACATGGGTGATCTGAACTCTAAGTTTCAAGGTTAAGCTTCTCTGTGCCAGTCACTCTCCACCAGCTTCCCCATCGTGAATTAGAGCACATTGGAGATAACGTGTATTTAATTATCTAAGTGGTTTTCCAAATGAGACCTTGTGGAAAAATATTTCCAAAACCAAATTTCTCAACACAATACAGCCTCCTGAAGAGTCAAAAAAAGTATTCTGACAACATATTGTTTTGTTGCCTTTCAAAATGGAGCGAAGCACTTAACATGGTGAAAGGTTCAAAAGCATGCAATGTTAAACTGTGCACCTACTGCTCCAGTCAGCATGTCATACATTAGGGCTCCTAAACTCCACCAGTCCACAGCTCGATTGTGTCCACTTCTCATTAAAATTTCAGGCGCCCTGTTAGAAAAGAAAAGGAACAAGATCCCATTATTCTTCAGCTCTGTTCCAAATACTGCAGCATTTCATCAAAATAGGAGAGGGAGAAGGAAATCTTCATATGTTTTTCAATTAGAAGCATGTGATTTGTCCTATTTGGAGAAAACTAGAGAATCTACTACCACAAAACAAGACTTTCATTTGACAAATTTCAATTTGATTCACAGTTTCTTCTAAGGGGCTTCCCCAAAGTGACAGGAAGGTGGTGTAATGCAGTAGGTATTACAGCTTCAAGTGTCAGAGTCATTTATGATGGTGTCAAATTAGGTGACCATGGAGTTGTGGCAGCCTTGCCAAGATGGATGTTGCAGCACATCACCTTTAAAGAATTACACCAAATTGGAGTCATATTTCAGTAAACATTTTACACATAACAATAAGACAAATGATCACTTAATGCATTCCTGATAGTCTTGGTTAAAAGGAGGATGTCAATCACAGACATTTTGAAAAAAAGACCATCAACACAAGTGGTGCACACAGTGGTTTAAGAATTCTGGTATATGGAAGAATGATTGAATTATACCAATAATTTTGTTAGACACTAATTTTGAAAAGACAGGACTGCACTGGAATTTCAACGTGCTTCAATGTGGACTCTTAAGTAGTGAAGGCCTGCCTGCAATTCAATAAAAAATGCTCCAAATCTGAACCCTGCAATTTGGAACAGCAAACAGGTAACCATCCCCTCTCTGTCTCTTGCACAGCTTTTTGTAGTAAGCTAAAACATGAAAACAAAGGTTGGGTGTGAAAACACATCAAGGTTTAAATTGTGAGACCCCAGCTAAGGCACGTGAAAAATAAATAGTAAAACAGAACAAATTCAAGTGACACTAGTAAGCTCAAATTGAGTCCACTTAGCTTAGGTTCTTTATACTCAAATGACAGGTATGATTATCAGGAATAAAGGGTTCAATTTCCCGAAATAAATGTTAATATTCTCTGTAGTCTGCACATTTCCATGCAATACTAGTTTTTAAAAGGACTCACATGTACTCAATTGTGCCACAAAACGTGTGGGTCACTGCACCATCATGAATAGATTCTTTACATAGTCCAAAATCTGTCAGTTTAACGTGCCCTGAAACAAAAAGGAAAACACAAGTTGATTGCTGGGCATGCAAGAGAAGGTATCCTTCAGGGATTACAAAACAGCAATCTGTCCACAGGGTTCAAACACTTCAAAAAACACTACGCACACAGTTAATCTTAGTTAGGTTGCAAATTTATGGTTAATTCCAGGCTTTAATATGGCGTTGGCCAATAACCAACGTCATCTAAAGTTATAGAAAAAATTGAGTAATTTCATGTCAGTATTTGGCTATTTACATTTTCTACGATTTCTCCTGAAAGTGCAGACTCTCTTGCTGGGCTACAATTGCATAGAAGCCAAGACCTCATCCAAGTGACCATTATGACCGCTCTACTGCCTGGAGTTTAGAAGAATGAGGGGGATCTCAGTGAAGAATAAAAGATTACTAAGGGACTTGACAGGGTAAACGCTGAGATGATGTTTCCCCTCATGATAGAATCTAGGACCGGAGGGCACAGTCTCAGAATGACAGGGTGCTAAATTTAAAACTGAGATGAGGAAGAAATTCTTGCAGTAGATTGTCTCTCTTTGGAACTCCTTGCCCTGGACCACTTTAGGAGCAGAGCCCTTGTTTATATTTAAGGCTGAGATGGAGTTTCCTATTGATCAGGAATCTAAGGTTATGGGGAAAATGCAGGAAAATGGATGCGAGGAATGTTAGATCAGCCTAGATTCTACTGAACAGCGCAGCAGGCTGCTCCAATTTATTATGGTCTTATTTTTATATCTGGCAAATGTCTCCTCAGAAGGACTGCAATGGAGTCCAATCATGCTCTTATTTGACATACAAAAATCCACAATTTCCAGTAAGGGTCACGGTTACCAAAGAGAAACAGAACCACTGGCAGATAATTTTCTATGACTAAGCTTCACCACTTATCAACTAACTTAGAATAGAAAGTGAATCAGAACAACAGTGCTTTGCACCATGTCAATTTGTGCCATTAGGTTAGAAGATGACTTTCAATTTAGTTTTTAACTTCAACTTTTTTTCCTGTTTTTGGCTAGTTTTGTCAACTGCCAACAGAAGCTAGGTTTCTTCAGGATGGATAACAACTGTACTTTTACCAATTTAAATTTTGGAAGAATTACATAGTTAAGACATTGAGCAAGGATTTGAAATTCATGAAAACCTCAAATCTTTAACTACATAACACAACTAGGCATATTGAACTTGATAATTTTAAGTTGGGGACAAAATCAAAGCAAGTAAACTGGCTCATGTCAGAATTTAATTTTTAGAGCAGCGAATTTTGGAGATGGAAATACATCGGTTGGTTTCAGACTCAAATCAGAAGTCAGCATGTTAATGATTTCATCTAACCATACATGACATCTGACAAAGACATTTATTACATTTTTGCCACACTAATTAGAGATCTCCAGTAGGTTTGCTCCAAATGAATCACAATATCTAATTTGCTTCATGTTGCCGTAACTCTCTTCTGATTGCATCATTTTTGCTTCTCTATCCAATTCTTTCCTCACTTTTAGCCTTCTTTTAAAAGTTCATTTTCTACCTTGTCTTGCTTTAATTCTTTTTATTCTCAGTGTAAGGTACACAGCATACACACTGCAAGGACTATTTAACATTGTGTCCTTTCAAGCCACACATTGTGGTTAAAGGGAAGAGAAGAGGTCCCAATTTTTGAAGTGATGATTGTGGGAAGGACCCAGCTGAATTTACAAGCAGGTGAGGCCTTTGGGATTGTAGGTGGCTGGAGAGATTCAGCCCAGCATTATTGGGTCTGGTAAGCCAGCCTGAGAGCATTACAAAGACATAAATCAACTGTTACCAAGGGAAGAAAACCAAAGTAAATAAATTAGTGGTTACCTCGGAGCTGCAACCATGGGAGCCGGGAGAATTGAAAATTTAGGTAAATGGGAAACTTAACTTTAAAAGGTAATGATTCAACCTTTCTGCCAAAGATGATGCACATGGTATTAAAATCACAGATGATGTTTACAATAATTAAGTTGCATGGGCCATCTTTGTAAAGATGTACAGTTTTAGTTTAAGATGAATTAGTAGCTGTTAACTTTGTTTTTTTTGTTATGTCTGTGCATTTACAATGCTTTGATTTTTGATAGCAATGAGAGTCTTTCAGAAATGAGAGCAGTGGACATTGTCTATGTGGGCTTCACCAAGGCATTCAACAAGGTTCTGCATAGTAGACTGGTTAGCAAGGTCAGATAACATGGAATCCAGGGATAGCTAGCCATTTGGATACAAAACTAGCTTGAAGGTAGGAGACAGGGTGGTGGTGGAGGGGTGTTCTTCAGACTGGGGGGCTGTGACCAGCAGTGCGCTGCAAGGATCAGTGCTGGGTACACTGCTTTTTGTCATTTATATAAACTATTTGGGTGAGAATACAGTAGGAAAGGTTAGGAGGTTTTGCAGATGACACCAAAATTGGTGGCGTAGATGACAGCGCCGGTTATCTAAGATTACAAAGAGATTTTAATCAAATGGGCTGACGGGCCAAGAAGTGGCAGACGGAGTTTAATTTAGATAAATGTGAAGTGTTGCATTTTGGCAAGGCAAATCAGGGCAGCACTTACATGGGGAGTGTTGCCAAACAAGGAGACCATGGGGTATAAGTTCATAGCTCCTTGAAGGTGGAGTCACAAGTAGACAGGGTAGTGAAGGTGGTGTTTGGTACACTTGCCTTTACTGGTCAGTGCATTGATTATAGGAGTTGGGATGTCATGTTGCAGCTGTATAGGACACTTTTAAAATACTGCGTTCAACTCTGGTCTCCCTGCTATAGGAACAACGTTGTTAAACGTGAAAGGGTTCAGAAAAGTTTTACAAGGATGTTACCTGGGTTGGAGGGTTAATCTATAGGGAGAGGCTCAAAAGGCTGGAGTTATTTTCTCTGGAGATTCAGAGGCTGAGGGTGACCTTATAGGGTTTCATAAAATCATAAAGGGCATCAGTAGGATGAATAGCCAAGGTCTTTTCTCCAGGGTAGTGGAGTCCAAGACGGCCAAGGTTTAAGACCATAAGACATAGGAGCAGAAATGAGGCCATTCGGCCCATCAAGTCTGCTCCGCCATTCAATCATGGCTGATAAGTTTCTCAACCCCATTCTCCCACTTTCTCCCCGTAGCCCTTGATAATCAAGAACCCATCTATCTCAGTCTCAAATGTACTCAATGACCTGGCCTCCACAGCCTTCTGTGGCAGTGAATTCCATAGATTCACCACTCTCTGGCTGAAGAAGTTTCTCCTTATTTCCGGTCTAAAAGCTCTTTCCTTTACTCTAAGGCTGTGCCCTCGGGTCCTAGTCTCTCTTACCAATGGAAACATCTTCCCAACATCCACTCCGTCCAGGCCATTCAGTATTCTGAAAGTTTCAATTAGGTCCCCCCTCATCCTTCTAGAATCCAATGAGTATAGTCCCAGAGTCCTCAAACGTTCCTCATATGTTAAGCTTTCCATTCCTGGGATTACTCTCGTGAACCTCCTCTGAACCTGCTCCAGGGCCAGTACATCCTTCCTGAGATATGAGGCCCAAAACTGCACTCAATACTCCAAATGTGGCCTGACCAGAGCCTTCTAAAGCCTCAGTAGTACATTCCTGCTTTTATATTCAAGTCCTCTCAAAATAAATGCCAACATTGCATTTGCCTTCCTGACTACTGACTCAACCTGCAAGTTTACCTTGAGAGAATTCTGGACTAGAACTCCCAAGTCTCTTTGCACTTCAGACTTCTGAATTTTCTTCCCACTTCGAAAATACTCCATGCTTTTATCCTTCTTACCAAAGTACATGACCTTACACTTTCCCACGTTGCACTCTATCTGCCACTTCCTTGCCCATTCTCGTAACCTGTCCAAATCCTTCTGCAGCCTCCCCGCCTCCTCAATACTACCTGCCCCTCCAACTATCTTTGTATCATCTGCAAACTTAGCCAGAATATCCTCCATTCCTTCACCTTGACCATTAATGTATAAAGTGAAAAGTTGTGGTCCCAACACTGACCCTTGCGGAACACTACTTGTCACTGGCTGCCATCCTGAGAAAGACCCTTTTATCCACACATTCTGCTTTCTGCCAGACAGTCAATCTTCTATCCATGCTAGCAGCTTGCCCTAACTTTACTCAGCAGCCTCCTGTGCAGCACCTTGTCAGAGGCCTTCTTGAAGTCCAGGTAGATAACTTCCATTGGTCTACTTTAAGGTGAGAGGGGAAAATAAAAGGGGCACAAGGGGCAATGTTTTTACGCAGAGGATGGTGTGTGTATGCAAAGAACTGCCAGAAAAAGTAGTGGAGTACAACATTTAAAAGGCATCTGGATGGGTACATGAATAGGAAGGATATTGGCCAAATTTAGGACATATGATTGGCATGGACAAGTTGGACCAAAGGGTCTGCTTCCATGCTGTACAAATTCATGACTCCATTTAAAAAAAAGCCCAAGGTTGCTACAAAAATAGATTCTGGAAGTAAAAACATACAAAAAGAAAGACCATAAAACCACAAAATGTAGGAGCAGAAGACCACCATTTGGCCATCAAGTCTGCTCTGCTGTTCAATGAGATCATGCCTGATCCGATAACCCTCAACTTCACTTTTCTGCCTTATCACCATAATCTTTGATCCCCCTAGTGATTAAAAATCTAAGCCTTGAATATACTTAATGACCCAGCCTCAACAGTCCTGTGTAGTAAATAATTGCAGATGCACTACCCTCAAAAAAAAAAAATTCCTCATCTGTGTCTTAAATTTAAATGAGCAGCCCTTTACCTTGAGATTATGCCCACTGGTCCTAGACTCTCTTACAAGGAAACACCTCTGTAAACCTGGAACAAAAACAAAAGTTGCTGGAAAAGCTCAGCAGGTCTGGCATGATCAGTGAAGAAAAAAATCAGAGTTAACATTTTGGGTCCAGTGACCCTTCCTCAGAACTGAGAAAGGGTCACTGGACCTGAAACGTTAAATGATTTTTCCTTCACAGATGCTGCTGAGCTTTTCCAGCAACTTTGTTTTTGTTCCAGGTTTACAGCATCCGCAGATCTTTCGGTTTTTTACTTCTCAAAACTTGCTTTGTGAAGCCCCCTGAATCGGTTTCATGTTTCAGTAAAGGTCTCTCATTTATCTGAAATCTTCAAAACTAAGTCCGTCCAACCTGCTCAACCTCTCTTCATAAGAAAATCCCTGCACACCCAGAATCAACCAAGTGAATCTTCTCTGGACTGCCTCCAAGCCATTATATCTTTTAGATAAACCAAAACCATTCACAATATTCCAGCTGTGATCTGACTTAATGCCTCATATAATTTTGTGAAAGTCTCCTTGTTGTTACTTCATTCTCTTTTAAGCAAAAGCCAACAGTGCATTTGTTCCCTGCTGCCTAGTGAACTAGCCTTTTCTGATTTGATCTTAAGCTATGCATCAGAATTAGGACATTCTGTTTATCAAGTCTGCTTTGCCATATGATCATTGCTGATGTTTCTTAAACCCATTCTCCTACTTTCTTTCCATAATCTTTAATCCCCTTACTAATTAAGAACCTATTTTTGCCTTAAAGACACTCGATGACTTGGCCTCCACAGCCTTCAGCAACGAGTTCTGGCTTATCCACTATTCTCACAACTGACATCATAACGCAATTTGATTCAAAAATGTATCCAATTTTCTCTTAAACGGATGCAATTGTCATCTTAACCACTCCTGCTGAAAAGTCTTTCACATTCTAATAATCAACTGTGCTAAAAAAAAACTTGCCCGAGCTTCTTCCCTCATTTAAATTGGTGATCCTCTTTACCAACTTCCAGAGTAAATATTTTTCGCTGTTAACTAGCAACATTCTTAAGCTTGTACTAAATCTCCACAATCTTTCTACTCCAAAATTTTTGTACCCTCATATCGCAAGTCTCTTTTCAATTTCACATTCCTAACATCACTATGGTCAATCAATATTCACTTAATCATCCATAACTTGAGCATTGCTGAAAAAGACTTGCTTTTGAAACATATAATCTTGTACTCATCAGGATCAAATGACAAGAATACCAAATTTCAAAAGGAACAACAATTTACACTGCATGAGAAAATGGTGCTGATTGGTCAAAAAATTCCCATGGTGCCCCAGGGAACAGTTACCCACAAGTTTCTGTTCAAATTCAAACGAGCAAGTCAACCTTGATTGGTCAAAGCATTTCCACGGGCAATGCAGCAAGTAAAGGTTAACTCCCAAGTTTTTGTTCAGTTGTTAGAAGAATACATGGACATGGCCTGTTTGCAAAGGACAGAAATCTGCTTTTCAATGTATGTAGCTCTGACTGGGCATAAATGAGTCACATTGCAAGCCTGAGTGATCATCTTAATTGGTGATTAGTGTAGTTCTTAGAACAATCTAATTACGTAATCACATCTAAAGTACATTAATTTTGAAGTTTTACAAGCATGAGCTGATTGAAGATCGTCAATAATCTGCCAACAGACAAAGGGATGTGTTGTTTGATACAATTCACCAGTCACTGGAATGCACAGCCTACATGTCTGGTGTCATACTAGTATTGAGGTCAAGATTTAATTCTCCTCAACCTAAATGAGGAAGTACATGTGTTCAGTGATGAAGGATTCTGCACTATCAAGTAAATAGTTAAGAACTGATCACTAAGCTTCTTGGTGAATCTCAGGCCTCGAGGCTGAAGTCCCACCTCACCAGAAGCAGTCACCCAATCAGGGGCTCGCAACTTCTGGATACGAAAGATCATTGCTAGAGGTCTGGTCTTCAGGGGATCCAATGGTGAACAGGTAGGTTTATGTTTTTCAAGACTCTCAGGCAGGGGCCATAGGAAGAGGAGGACTGGGGTTTCCTTAGTCACTGCTGCTCCTGACTAGCCCAGATTTGGGTAAACGGATGTTGGTCACCTCCCAAACCCAGCAGGCAGGTCACCCAGATTTCATAGTCGGAAAGCTAGCCACTTTTCTCTGTCAGCAAGATAGGTAATTGGGCTGAAAGCAATTTGAGGACCTTAAGTGGTTGTTTGTTGACCATTTAAGAATCTTAATAGCTAGCAAGTTGAGAAGGCCCCCTATCAACCTTCCCGGTCAGTATTTAATTGCTGAGGTGGCAAGGAGGCAGTGAATATCTTTCCAGTGCCTTTTCACCAAATTATGTACCCTTCTTGCCTCCTTTAAGGAAGGGCAAGCCACTGCCTGAAAAGCATACCATTTTACTCATTTGCGCAGGAGGTTGAATGTCTCTTTGGCTTGATGGGAGCTTCCTGTGGAGTGACAACTCATGCCGTTACTGCATAACACCAACACAAAGCACCTAACTTGATCCCCCCCCCGCCCCCACCATACAGTATTAAATTGTTCTTTCCTTTGAAATTTGGTGTTCTTGCAATTCTGCCCTGGTGAGTGCAAGACAAAAACTCTTTCATAATTTGTTTCTTTTTACAGTACACTATATCTAGGTTACATGAACACTGTGGGGTGTGGAGATGTTGCTCAATGAGCAAACATTAATACTCAACATTACTATTTTAATACACTCAACCACAGGTTAACACATCACATGTGGTGAGAACATTTTACAAGAAATATTGCATTATAGTCAGTGTCAAAAACTAACCTCTTCAAATACTGCAATGCCAAGTGTTGAATGAATAGCAAAAAGATTAAAATGTCACCTTTGTAGGGTAATCAGTGCCACAGCAGAATCTATATTCTATCAGTATCCTACAAATTTAAGATCAGATTTCCATACAAATTTGTGAGAAAGTGGCAAATACTGATATTCATAACAAAAGACTCCCTTCACATAAAATTTCCTAAGTGACAAACAATGTTGCAAATACAGTAAGTGTACCAACAGTAGTATATTAGAGGCACAGTTCAGGAAATTAAAGGTGGGCTTTTGCAATCAGCCTAGTTGACATATGCTACACCTGCTACAGTATCAGAAGCTGAGCTGCTATATGTACTGAAGTAGGACCAGCAGATCTCCAATGCTATGTGCACATACACTTATTACAACTGTCCAGTCATAATGTTTAATTGAAGCCATTTAAACCAAGGCATATGCAACAGGTTCTCCCAGTTAAGGATTTTGTGAATCTTCACAAAAAAGACAGGCATTGTATTGGTGGCAGGTATGAAATAAAAGCAATTCTTGGAAAAACCCTCACTTATACTCTACTCTACTGACAGATTTAGATTCAATCTTGGCGCTCTTGAATTGAGAATATGATACCTGTATATATTCACTCAAAACAGAGGAAGACCAAAAGTCAATTATTTCTTAGGGCCAACTTCTGTAATTATGTATTCATTTAACTATTTGATAAAATACAACCTTAATGCAAGTTGGCACTGTCCAGAGTTAATACATCAAAGAAAGTGACAAACCGTTAGCACAGATAGAATGAGGTCACAAAGTCTTTACACTACCACAGGCCTCACTACCCAGATAAATGGGCACTTACATGACCTATACTAAAGACATTACTGACCTCAAGTTAGTAAGATCTTTGTGATTTTTAAAAATTATGCGCAACTGAGACCATACAGGCAATCTCAGAAATAAATCTACATCTTGTTCATTATTTGCTCATTGCTGTTAGATAATCATGCAAATTTTTTAAAATTAAATCCACCTGAACAATGAGGAAAAATTCAGCTGTATTTCTGATGAAAGCAATTAGCAGTTAAATAATACAAAAGATTGAGAGATTCTTGTGGTGCAGTAGTGGCCCTAGCTTTGAGCCAGAAAATCTAGTTTCAAGTCCCACCTGCTCAAGAAGCGTGTCATAACATCTATGAATGGACTGGTTAGAAAATGTGTAGAGATGATTGGAAGGGCTCTTGGGGCACAGGGGTAGCGCTCCTATTTCTCAGTCAGGAGGCCCGGTTCAAGTCCCATCTGCTCCAGCAATGTGTAATAAAAACTCTAAACAGGTTGACTGGAAAATATCTACAGAAGACCGAAGATCTTCAGCAATGGTCTGCCCACAGTTAGTTTATTTAAACTGGACAGGAGTAGCTTCAATGTCTTGGTATATGGTTGCAATTGAAGGGATTATATACAACTTCCTGGTTTCTATTCCTGATTCTTATTCAGTGACAAATAGGGACCAAGGACAGGATAAAGTTGTGAAATGATGCATCACCCTTTGGATGTCCAACAAATTCTATGGGAGTTCACAAACTGAGACACTACATGGGCAAAATACAAGAACAGCAACTTGTGCAACAACATCCACGACAATTATAAATTTTGTCCTGTCCAATGAAATTTGTTGAGATCATTCACATGGAAGGTACAGGAGTTTCATAAACACCACATGAATAGTAGATCTGCCATTCTTCAACATTTATAATGCTTTTTCTCACACCGATTACAAGAGCAGAAATGTACCCAACCAGAGAAGATATATTTTACAGGAATGTGTAAAACTTTGGAAATTAAAATGTTATTGTGACCTCTAAACAAATCTTGGAACCATTAAGATTGCTGGAGTTAGTTTATAATGCATTCAGTTAAGAAAGAATCGAAGTAATTTGTGTTTCAAATCAACTTCAAAAACACTTGCCGCACTGCTCAGCACACTGCAACTGAACTTCGAGTTTCATTTACCTTGACGATTCAGCATGATGTTTTCTGGCTTCAAGTCTCTGTAGATAATACCCTTCTGATGCAAGTGCCCCAAAGCCATTGATATTTCCGCTAAATAAAAACTTGATTTGATGGGGGTGGTGGGTAAGAGAAAGACAGGCATTAGTATTTTTATTAGTTTATCTAAAAGGAAACTATTTTGGCAGAAGGAAGGTTACAACAGCTTTTTCTTGGTAAATGGCATACCAGTAATTGCATCTTTAACGGTTAAAGCTGGCAATGGAGAATATTTTCTATGTTCAAATTAGCTCATCAGTTAGTTTAACTTTTCCCTGGAACAAAAGTAGTCTATTATTTACAATCCCAGTTTAAAAAAAAAAAGATTTTCTCACACCTATCCAGTTTAAATAAAAAGTTCACGATTTTAATGCTCTCACCCCTAAGATTTGATCAGTTGTCAACAGCGCCAAACCTACTGTAACGGTTGGGTACCAAAATTGCTGGAAAAATTCAGCAGGTCTGGCAGCCCAGTGACACTTCTTCAGAACTACTGCTGCCAGACCAGCTGAGTTTTTCCAGCAATTTCTGTTTTTGCTTCTGATATCTAGCATTTGCAGTACTTTAGGTTTTTATTTTCTAACATACCCTGTATTCATCTCAATTAAAAATGAAACACATGATGTACATAACTAAAATACATTGGCTATTAAGTGATATACAAGAACGTCGTCATAACTCTGTAATCCACTTTCCAAAAAGCTCATGGGGAATCCTTTTAACATCTCAATTTGCTCACAAATGCAACTCTTGTCCTTATACTTTGCGGGCTATACTCAATGAATTACAGGTTACCTTCAGTATGGAACTGATTTCTTCTTTTCCTCCTCAAAATTACCACAACTTGTGCCCAATGCTATTCTAAGACAAGGCCCAATTGGAAGCATACACCAACAGCCCAGGATGGTTTTGCCCTGAAAAGATGGCAAGGCCAAGATTGTGAATGTGTAACCTCTTCAGACCACAATACAAAGGTAAGCCCAGCATTTTCGTTTTCTGCTACAAGTTAGCAATTTTGTCTCATTATACTTGCAACAGTATTCTTTTTCAAAACTTCAAGTGGGAAATAAGAAATAATCCATATTCTCTGATAAACTGTAATAATCTGTCCCATTGTCATACAACGTTACTGTTCACCAGGCAGGTTGAACCTGATCTTTCAAAGAGCTAATGTTAAAATTCATGGGAAACACTGTAAATAGGGACTTTTGCAAATGAAAAACATGGCAGACTGCGCATGCACAGGGCACACCACCTACTCCAGGAAGTAAGCTTTCCTCGACTTTTTCTCCCCCTTAAAGCCACAGATAAAGAAAGATCACACTCAGTAGAGAGAGAAATGTAGACCAAGTTTTACATGGCAGGATTTGACTACAGAAAACGGCCACTTTTGCAATACGTGATTTTTTTTTTTCTGTTCTGCAAGTGTTCAGGGGATTTGTTCAAGCTCCCAGCTCAACCGTTTTCTAGTTATTTAAGTGTAAACTTGTGACCTTCAATACTAGAACTAAGTGCTTTCTCACAATGAAGACTGTAATTATCAAAAACAAGAAAAGAGAACATACACCAAAGACAGGCTGGTCAACATCTTTCAGGGAGTAACTGCATCCACATTAACTGATGGACATAAAATTAAATAGACTGGAGGTGACCACCAGTTTTGACATTTTGAGGAATAAAACAAATAATTCTCTGGAATGGAGTCTCAAAGCTAAACCATTCTCAAATATGGTTTAGAAATTGAACCAGTCTAGAAGTCACATCCAGGTTTGCAACAGATCAGCTGCATCAGACTAGGGGCATTTCTTCTAATACACGCTAGTCTACATGCTGTTAAAAATCCACAATAGATGTGCTGAGATTTCAGTCCAATTTCATTTCCGTAATTTCCCAAAAAAGCCTAGCAATTGGAAAAAGATGGTGGTGGATGTAATCAAACAGGAGAGTCAAGCATGCTGAAAAGTTACAGAAACTGGTGGCTACCTGGAATTAGAATGTAACCATCACTTTGGTTAATTAAGTACAGCTGGGTAAGACAAAGAGGATTACAATATTAAATTTCAAGAAACGTCCCAGATAATAAAACTATTTAATTTAATAAAAGTCCAAGCCCAACTACGGAATTTCCTTGATCAGTCCTGATTTAGTTTCCTATCGAACAAGTTGCACTTGTTTCTAGCACTGAAGGTCACAAGTTTACATTTAAATAACTAGAAAACCATTAAGCTGGGAGCTTAAACTTGCTTGGAGCTCTTACTAATGCAAATATTACCTGAGCTCAAAAATTCTCACCACTTTTCTTTACTAAATTAAAGCCTCTAATTCTTTGAAAAAGTATCATTTGCTTGGAGCTAAAGTAAGAGAACTGATGTACAGGTCAACAAAAGGTTACAGAGTCTGAATAGCTTATACTCCTGTTCCTCAGTTCCAAGCACAGAAATACTATTTCGGTCCAACTGGTCTATACCACTGGGTGCACTTCACATGAATGTCCACTCACTGCCTCCTGTCATACTCTTCATGCAGAGACCCAGATAATGTTCTGGAGTCCTCGGTTCAAATCCCACCATGGCAAATGGTGGAATCTGAATTCAATAAATATCTAGAATTAAGAGTCTAATGATGAGCATGAATTGACTGTTGATTGTTGGAAAAACCCATCTGGTTCACTCATGTCCTTTAGGGAAGGAAACTGCCACCCTTACCTGGTCTGGCCTACATGTGACTCCAGGCCCACAGCAATGTGGTTGACTCTTAACTGCCCTCTGGGCAATTAGGGATGGGCAATAAATGCTGCCTAGCCAGCGATGCCCTCATCGCATGAATGATTTTTTTACAAATGAGCCAAGCCTTCCTCGGAATGCATCCACATGATGTTTCAAATACTCCCATTTAGCAGCAAGTCTTGTATTCTTAAATTTTTGACAAAAGAACTGTTAAAAATTGAATTATGCTATCACAAAAAATCTAACAAAATTTGACATCTCAAAGCTTTTCACGTTTTAGGCAAGATAGGTAATTTACTGGAGACCAACATCATAATCCAACCAACAGTGAAACACAACTTCAAACATATTTAAACTGGTTAATTTATTTGAACTTGAAATCAATCTCCAAATCACAAAATGAAATGCTATTCTCAAAACCACCAGAATCAACCACTGTTACTTTACAATGGCAGCCTTTTTGCATGTAGAATGGACTTGAGAGGACTTCTGCTTCCTTCAAAGAGCATGCCCTGTTCACCCAAGGGTTCTTGAAACAGCCTGCTCATATTAAACTGAGAAAACAACTGAATTGAGTATTCCCAGGAAATCAGACTGAAAAGGACAGTGGGCTCACTCCCAATCGACACCTCACTGTAATACTTCACTTCTGATGTTTTGCTTGGAAACCAGATTAACTGCAAACCACATCCTTCATGCATTTATCATTATTACAAGTAGTAACAGTCATGTCATATACCCAAATCAAATCTAGAAGCAAATAGTTCACTGGTATTTGGACTTCCTTAGGAGGATGTTTCCATTTCTGACAGAAGTCCAAAATTAGGCACAATAAATATAAGGAAGTCATGAATACCGCATGAGGAAATTCAGAAAATTCTTTAGTCAAAGAGTTTTTATGAATGTGGAACTTATAACCGCTTGGGAGCGGTCAAGACAAATAGCTCAAGGTTAAAGGAAAACTAGGTAACTGACTGATCAGATGCGATTACAGACTAACGTTCCACTACAAGATTTGAGCACAAAAAGCAAGGCTGACACTCAGTGAAGTACCACTACTGAAGGTACTGCATTTGAATGAGCGATTTAACAAAGATTAGATATGCCCCACAAGTAAGATCCAATGGCACTAATTCAAAGAGCAGCAGTTATACCTAGTGTTTTAGCTCATACTTATTCTTCAAACAGCATCACCAATACAGGTTATCTAGTAATTATCACAATGCTGTTTGAGAGAACTTGCTCTGCAAAATTTGGCTGCTTTATTTTCTTTCAATAAGGATATTTCAAATGTACTTCACTGTCACTTTGGGATGTCTGTCTAGACATAATGAAAAGTGCCATTTAAATGCAAGTCTTTCCTTTATTTCTCAGAATAAGGCAGTTCCTGTTTAAGACGGAGCAGAGATGGAATTTCTTCTCAAGAGATTGTTCATCTTTGGAATTATTTAACTCAGAGTAGCGGAGGCTAGGTCACCGAATACGAGTGAAGACCAATTTTTGATCTACAAAGGAATCAAGAATTATGTGGGCAAGCAAGCAAGTAGCATTGAAGGGGCGAATGGCCTACTCCCACTCCTCTTTTTCTTCATCTTCTGAATAGAAAGATATAAGTGCTAATTGAAGTATGATGAGAGGTGCTTGTGAAGTATAACAGACCAGTAAGGCCAAATGGCCTGCTTTTACACGATTCCAGTGCCGATAATACTTTACTTACCAAGCAGTATCTTCCATGAAGATTCCTTCCCTTTCTAGCTGCATAAAGAGCTCTCCACCTACAATGACATAACCAATGTGAGAAAGTAACAATGAGAATACCACAAAAAGCTGAGAATACGATACAGCTCAATAGCTACAAAAGAAAACCATTAAATTTGTTTAGTGTTAGATAATTTTAGCCAGCAAAACAAATGCATAGCTTATACTTTCCCATCAACTGGTACTACTTTCTTTCTCAAAACAAAGATTATTTAAAAAATGCCGCTCCAAGTATTTGCTGAGTAAATGCACCATTTAACTTAAAACAGCAACAAAGAAATAAGGGAGGTCACAAGTTTGAAGGAACAGTTAATGTGAAACTGTAGTACACAATTTTTAAAAATTCATTCAGGTGGTGTGGGCTTCACTGACTAGGCCAACATTCATTACACAGCCCTGTCTTTGAAACTTTGACAATGCGGTGCCCTCTTGAACCTTAGGTGGAGGTACAGCCAGTGTTGTTAGGGAGTGTTCAGGATCTTGACCCAGCTTCAGTGGAGGAATAGCAATACAGTTCTACAGTCGGATGGGGTGAGGCTTGGAGGAAACTTGCAAGGCGGTGTTGTTTGTTCCCATGCAACTTCTGCTTTTGTCCTTCTAGGTGCTGGAAATCACCAGCTTGTATGATGCTGTCGAAGGAGCCGAAGTGATTTGCTGCAGTGCATCTTGTAGATGATACATTCTGTTGTCATTGCACCTTGGTGAACGGGTCGAGTAAAGTTGAAGATGGTGACTGAAGTGCTAATCAAGCTGACATTTTAAAATTGTATTATAGTATGTGGGTCAACATTTATTGCCTATTCTTAGCTGCCCTTGTGGTGCTAGGCAGCTGCTGCCTTGAACTGCTGTGATTCATTAGGTGTCAGGAGACCCACAATGCCATTAGACAAGAGCCAAGATTTTGAACCAGTGACATTGAAGGAATGACAACATATTATCAAGCCAGGATGGGGAGGGTCTTGGAGGAGAACTTGCAGGTAGTGGTGTTCCATGTAACAACTGCTTGTCCTTCTAAATGGCAGTGATCATGGGTTTGAAAGATGTTTAATTAGCCTTGGTGAATTCCCACATTGCATCCTGCAGATGGTGCACACTACTGCTATTAAATATCAGTAGTGTAGGGAGTCAATGCTTGTGGATACGATACCAATTCAGTAGGTTGCTTTGTACTGGATGGTGTCAAGCTTCATGTTTTGTTGGGATCTGCACTCATCTAGGCAAGTGTACAGGATTTCATCACACTCCTGGCTTGTGTCTTATAGATGGTGGACAGGCTTTGGGGAGTCAGGTGGCGAGTTATCCATTGTAGGATTCTTAGCCTCTGATCTGCTCTTGCAGTCACAATATTTATATGCTGGTCTAGTTCATTTCCTGGTAAATTGTAACCCACAGGAAGTTGGTAGTGGGAGATACAATGATGGTATTGTCATTGAACAAAGAAGGAGTGTTAGATTTTTGGCTGTTGAAGATTGTCATTGGATGTTACTTGCTACTTAACAGTCCAAATCTAGTTGTCATCTACGTCTTGCTGCTTAAGGACTCAAGTTGCTTCAGTATCTTGTGGCAGCGAATGGTGTTGCAAATTGCCAATTATTGCACAAATTCTCCACTTCTGACCTCACAGTGGGCAGAAGTTCAAATGGTGAACAAGAAACTCTGACAATAATGTCTTATTGCTGAGTGACCGATAACAACCACGCTGTTTTCCTTTAAATTGGGTATGGCTTCAACCAGCTGAGAATGTTACCCATAATTCTTATTCTCAATGTAAAAACAGGAGTTTGTCTTCACAAGAACTGTGCAGGGATGACTTCTACCAGTAGTGTTATGAACATCTGCATTTACAACAGGTAGATAGATGAAGACAATACCAAGTAGGTTTTTCTCTTGTTGTTCCTTCAATACCAGCCTCCGACCCAGCCTAACAGCTAAGTCCTTTCAGTTGGAGGGGAGAGAGAAAGCGGAGGAGGGAGAGGCCAGGTGGTTATCAGCAAGGGGCTTCATGGACCTGGTGCCAACAGACAACGCGAGGTCCAGAGTCAATACCGAGAGCTTCCACAGCAACTCCCTCCTAACCCTTTGCCACTGTGCCGTCACTTGTAGTGGTGACGTCTGCAACATTGAGAGGTACAATTCTGTGGACCTATGTTAGGTTGTTGTTTCACTATTCTTTGGGAGAGCTCTCCCAATTTTTGGTCAAGTCCCTAAATGTTAGTAAGCAGGATGTCACTGAATCAAATGCACTAGATTAGCCATTGTTGTTTCCAGAGCCTCGATCAATGCCAAGTGATCCATCCAGTCTTTTTCCTTTTCTTAGATATAACAGCTTGATAGAGTGGGTTATTAGGCCATTTCAGAAAGCAGTTAAGGGTCAACCATATTCTGAAATCACATCTGCCTGACCAGGCAAGAACAGATTTCCTTCCATTAAGGACATTACTGAAACAGGTGTGTTTTTATGACAACTACACAGTTTCATTGTCTCAATTAGACAATTTTTTTTAATTCAAAGATTTATTAATTAAATTCAAAAACTTAGTTGTGATGATAGAATTTGAACCCAGTGGCCTGGATATCTGCATTACTAGTCAAAAGACATCATCACTGTCTCCCCGTCAATTTGCACTCACTAGTTTAAAAGCTGGACTGGGTGGTAAGGGAGGAAAATAAAAACTATTTCAACTCCTGAATTACCATCTTTGGGTATACTGTTATAAAAGACATTAATTGGAAAATTATTCCCTCAGTATGAACATATATATTTAGAGCAGGACGAGGCCTGTTGACCTCTCAAGGATGCTCTGCCTTTGAGAAGATCTCTACCTATATCCTTTGACTCTCTAGGACATGAAAATCTAACTCTGCCTCAATTTTGCCTCCATACCTCTCTGCAAAAGAGAATTCTATGAACCAACCACAGATACAAAAATTCTCACAGTATTATTTTTAAACTCAGCTCCTTAGCTCCAGCCCATCACATAAGGGAAAGTACTCTTTCAGCACCTGCCCTGTCAAATCACTGCAGGACCTTACATGTTTCAACCAGATCTGAAAAGCAGCATTAAGGACATGGATAGGAAAATACACTTAGATCACAGCTCATCTTTCCAATGCACCAAAAAGACAAAAAGCCCGACAGAATTAATGAAAGACACGATATGCTAAAATAAGTTAATTTCACCTCAAATCTGAGCAGGCAATTCATAATGACACTACAGGATGTAAAACAAATTATACATATATTAAAGCATCTGAACATATGCTCCAAATCAATTTATGGTAACAATCTGCCACTTGGACATGTGCATGAACAGACTACAGTGTTTTCTTCTGTGAATCTTTTCCTTCTTTCATCTGGGGAAGTCCCATTTATCGTACTGTTTGCTGCCCACAACTGTAAGGCTGAGATTTGAATTGTGAAAGTGATAAAGCTGTAATAAAATTTGAAAATCTAAGGCAATTGTTGGGAAAATGACAAGAGTTGGAGAAAGGTAGTTTTCTCTCAATCGTGGATCCAAAATAAAGTATTGGTGAACAAATTAAAGGAATTGTTGAATCTGCTAATACAATAAACAGCTGGCTGGGTTTACAATCGTAAAGCATTCACATCTGTATTCCTACACGATATGATAACTCATACCAACTTCAATAAAAACTCAAAGAACTGTGGATGCTGTAAATCAGAGACAAAAACAAAAATTGCTCAATAAGGTCAGCAGGTCTGGCAGTATCTGGGGAAAGAAATCAGAGTTAACGTTTCAGGTCAAGTGACCCTTCCTCAGAACTAGGGCCACTTGACCCGAAATGTTAACTCTGATTTCTGTCCCCAGATGCTGCCAGAACTGCTGACCTTATCCAGCAGTATCTGTTTTTGCCCCTAGCTTTAAACTATACTTGATTCTGTACACAAGAACTTCCTGGCTTTGGCTCTACATAGGGCCATTTTGTAGTGTTCAGCAGGCAGTATGACACAGAACAATTGCTATTTACTTTTAAACAGCAAAGCATTTTAACGTGTCATTGAGAAGGGAGGATGATTGGGGAAATTGCACGGTCTAGTGCACATTGGAATGTTGCCTTCAATAAATCACTTCCTTTATGTTTGAAGAAGCTCAGACATTTTAAAAATACATTTCATATATACACTAATTCAACAGCAGTGACAACATTCTCAATCTAGGCTTTAATTAGCAAGATAGTTTCCCACCTGGAGACAGCATCTGTCACTACTTCTGCTGTTACTGATATTTTATTATTCCCTCGTCAGATAGTATGACAATAAAATTCCCAGGGTAGGGGAGTCCAAAATTAAACGGCATAGGCTTTAGGCGCGAGGGGAAAGATTTAAGAGGGACCCGAGGGGCAACCTTTTAACAGAGGGTGGTGCACGTATGGAATGAGCTGCCAGAGGAAGAAGTGGTGGAAGCTGATACAATTACAACATTTAAAAGGCATCTGGATGTGTACATGAAAAGGAAGGGTTCAGGAGGTATATGGGCCAAATGATGGCAAATGAGACTAGGTCAGTTTAGAACATCTGGTCGATATGGATGAATTGGACTAAAGGGTCTGTTTCTGCAGTGTATAACTCTATGATTCTCAATCTCTGAACTATTTAATGAATATCATAGTATTTTCTGGTTAGTATCACACTGCTAGCTCTACAACAAATTAGCTTCCACATTTCTTACATTATAACAGTGACCATACTTCAAATGTACTTCAGTGACAAAGTATTTTGGGGCCATGGAAACACTGGATATACACATCTCTTCCCCTTACGTAAACCAACCCCAGCAATAATCTAAGGTGCAAAATTTCCCGAGACAAGTATTGCCATATTGTGACATACTCTTGTCGATTAAACATTAATGCTGACAATAGTAGTTCCCGATAAGATTTAGATCGCCGGATGTCAGGAGTTAAACATTAAAAACTGCAATCAAAAATAGGAGACAGCGCAGCATGTGTTTTCGCGACAAGGGATGTAAAATAATCAGGATACACTGACACTTTAAAATGTTTAGTTGAAATTTGGGTACATTAAAACAATTGTGTTCCACCCAGACAGAACTAGATTATATTTTAAAATGTACAAAATAAATGCATTATGAAAACAGGCCAATTGGTCCAACCAGCACTGGTTGGCATTTTTCCTTCACAGAAGCAAACAATTGTAATCAATTTACCTGCCTTGTTACGATTTCTTTTCAAACCCTTTGCCTTCATCCACCTATCCAATCTAATCTTGAATGTTGACCAAGTTTCTCCCTCAATCATTAACTCTCAAAGTGAATTCAACAGCCTCACAACCATGCAAAGAAATTGCTTCTGCTTTCAGTTCTAACTGAGATTTGATCTTGTATTCCTGGCCTTTTGTCCTTCACTGCTTAAGAACAGAAGTCTGTTTCTACTTACCCCAACCCATTGTTGGTTCTTCCAAATCTTCTCATGCTAGATAGCTTCGTAATGAACTTCCATTGTACCCTCTGCAAATCTTGAAACTGATCTCTTCACCAAAGCTTTGTTACTACTCTCAAATTGTATTTTGGATTGGCAATAACTTTTGTCCAACTGTATACTTTTGCAAATGGCCTCAGGACATTTTATCCAATATTAAAAGATGCTACATAAATGCAAGTTGTGATTGTTGTAATAGTCTCAGTGCTGTTTCCATAGTGTCTTACTCGTAGACAGCCTCTCAGGATTGAGAACGACTTGATTCCACTTTGATTCTTTGGGTCGCAGATAGCTAATAAGTCCAATGCAGATTCTGACACGTGGGCAGGAGATGCTGGAAAGTTTGGAAGATAGGTTGTACTGAAGTTCGTGCATCCTTCCATTGGCTCATCACCACCTACGAGTGTTTCAACAAAATCTCTCAATGTCTTTGGTGTCTTCCTCAATGAGCATTCTTGATTTTGGCTGGTCATAAGGCAGGATCTCCCATGAGTTGGGGATGCTTTGAGAAAAAGTATAAAGCATTTCCACTGTCTTCTTGGAAGTCACCTGCCACAATCAAGGTAGAATGTGGAGATGCCAGTGTTGGATTGGGGCGAACTAGTCTGAAGTCACATGACACCCGGTTATATTCAAAACAGTTTTATTTGGAATTACAAGCTTTCGGAGTGCTGTTCTTTCGTCAGATGAAGTGACTAACCCTTGAACCTGCTCTGCCATTCAAAAAGGATCATGACTCAACTCACATGATGGATCATCAGAACATTTAAGAAGGGTCACCACTGACTTGAAGTGCTGTTTCTCTCCACAGATGCTGCCTGCGTATTTTCTGCATTTTTCAATTTCAGATTTCTAGCTCTTTCAGTTTTTCTCTTGAATTAAAAATTTTGTTCCTACTCAGCTCTAATGGATGTTCAGATTTTCTCTTCCATAACTATTCTATAAATTTGAGGTCTATACTACATACATACAAAAGTAGGAAGTTTTATCCCCACTTGAAGACAAAACCATATTCATGATTTGAATTCCTTTCTCATCTATCTCAACCCTCTGAACACCATATAGCCATTCTTAACATTACAAACCAATGCCTCCTTTTTCTTTTTGAATCCTTCTAAAATAGACTATATCCTAGTCTTTAATGTTGTAACCTGATTCAAAGAGATGGCCACTGAAAACAGACCGAAGTTTTCAGTGCATTTTTTCAGACGCAAAGAAAAATTCAGTTGCAACTTCGAAATCCTTAAAAAAAATCTTGTGAGCAATGTTGTAGTGCAACACACTGGATTACAAATGCATTTCTGCAGTGTAGCAAAGATTCCGGATGTGAATCATCAATAAAAAGTTTGCTATTGAGAAAATCCTACAGTCTCTTTGTAGCTTGCTCATTTGCACAGTTTTAGTAGCAAGCCATTCATTATACCCTCATTGAAAAAAAAAGTTGCGGTACTGACCACTGAGATACTCAAGGATGAGGTAGAGTTTACCCCCAGTCTGGAAAGCATACATCAAATCCACAATGAACGGATGCTTCACGTCCTCTAAGATACTGCGCTCTGCTTTAGTATGCGCAGTGTCTTTTGCATTACGAACGATCATTGCCTGCCAAAGCAAAATAAAAATTACTTGTTGCCACAGACAATATGACTACTTAAAACTGTTTAACTTAAATTATTGCACTGGAAAAGAAACTAGATGCTTAATTCATGAGAACACAATAGCCTTGATCCAACCAAGTCTAAACAACATCAAAGTTGCCCATTGCCAGATGCAAAGTTTTAAGTTAAACTGTGTGTCAACAGTTTCAATTCAGTTGCCAGTAAATTGACAACAGGATGCTGTTTGCAAATGTACTGCTGGTCAGAGGTCATGACGTAACTATCAGTCAAGCAGTGACATAATCACTGCCACTTAAATTGAGTGTGGGGTTAGTCAACAGTATTTCAGCAGACTACAAGCAGCCACATGTTACACACATTCTGCGCTTGCTGCTGCGTTTTGATTATTCATTCAGGATATACACATCAGTAGCAAAGCCAAATGTCTACCCATAATTTCCCTAAAGGGTGGTAATGGACACTTTTGAGTGTTACACGCCAGGCACACCTACAGCACAATTAGGGAGGGAGTTACAGGATTTGACCTAGGTGACAGTGAGAGAACTTGCTGTTGACTGTTAATACATTAAGCAGAAAATTTTGCCAGCACTTAAATCTATCACCGATAGCTATAAATTTATGTTTCATCAATACAGTCAAAACTTATGAAAATCCCATTAACTCCGGTGTGCTGGGGTAAAGAGTTAAATAATATCATTGCTCATAGCGTATCTGTCCAAGGGATCTTGTGGTGTCCCCGGCTCTGGGCCAGAAGAGCCTGCATTCAAGTCCCACCTGATGTAGAGGTTTGTCATAGCGTATCTAAACAGGTTGATATCTACAGCACCTATCCACAAAGATTAGTGCGCAGTGTAAATCAAGAGAAGGGAAATAAAAACAAATGAAAATATCAAGTTCAATGCTGCAATGAGAATGGAATACATTTAGTTACATTCGTATCTGCTCTTCTCAGAAGAACCACTCAATTACAGCCCTCTCCATAAATGTAACCAGTGCGCACCATAATTCACAAACAGCAGCACAGGCCTTAAAAGTAAGCCGATAATAGCATTCTCCCTCTTGCAGGGGAGAATGGTCTCTTACCATTTTAGTTAAGCAAGCCAATCAGCTTACTGAACCAAATCGATAGGTAAAAATACAACAGTTGAACACTGATCTGTACCAAATTAGGCAATCAAAGTCAGAACATGTGAAAAGCCTCTACACTACTGGAGGAGCAGTAAAACAGCTCAGAGCTCCTACTCTTGATTGATGTACAGCAGCCTTTGTTGAAAAGTATGTGGCTAGAAAATAGGTGAGGGCAGGAGAAGGTTTAGTTGCAATAAACACGAAGTCTAATTAAAGCTCTCTGACAAAGTGCTCAAAAATGAACAGCTATTTAGATAACACACTGAAGAGAACATTTTCCCTCTTCTCAGATCAAAACGCAAATGGGAGTCAATATTGGATTTTGTTTGGGGCACCAGACCTTGGGAAGGATTTATAGAGGTTGCATAGGGTAGAGCAAAGATGTGCTAGATAGCACCAAAGCTGAGGACAGATTGCATAAGTTGGCTTGTTGGTGACAAAGTCTTTGGTTTAGGTGGTTGAAATGTGATCTAACAAAGTTTAAAACAGCCAGTACTGCCAATTTTCAACTTTGGTACTTAGATGTAACTACCACTAACTGTGCAACATCAACCCAAATCAGTAGCTTTAAGATAGCCAGGAAAAATGTGAAACAGACAGATTTTGCAGGTTAACATTCATTAAAACTATATTTTTCCACTCCACAGTTTAGTCTCTAGAATGCTATGACAAGAATAGAAACCAAGTGTCACCTGTACCTCAGCTTCATTTAGTTACCTTTCTTGATAACCTTAACAAATAATCTCATTTCAGTATTGCAAAATGAATTCTGGTTCACGTCCTGTTTGGGGCTAGGTGTTTGGTAAACATTCCACATTTCATCTACTCTTTGCATAATATAGTGCTTTTTAATTTCATTCTTGTATTGTCCAACTTTAATATCAGGATTGGTTGTTATTCATTCACAAGATATAGGTGTCACTGGCTAGGCCAGCATTTATTGCCTTTCCCTAACAGAGGGAATAACTTCTCCATCAAATTCTTTTCAAAAAGTTTTAAAAACTTTGTTAGATCGCATTTCAACCACCTAAACCAAAGACTTTGTCACCAACAAGCCAACTTAATGCAATCTGTCCTCAGCTTTGGTACTATCTGGCACATCTCTGCTCTACCCTATGCAACCTCTATAATCCTTCCCAAGGTCTGGTGCCCCAAACGAAATCCAATATTGACTCCCATTTGCATTTTGATCTGAGAAAAGGGAAAATGTTCTCTTAACCTTTTTGGTTATTTTTGTACCTGAATTTCTGATGTGTGTACTTCGATACTCATTCAAAGTTCCCAGTTCCACACTGTTTAGAAAGTGTACAGATTGGGACCCAAGGCAGTCGAATAAGTAAACCTTTCATGTCCCTAAACTGAAGTCCACCTACCATGAACAGAATTATTCCCCCAAATCTGTTTATACACTATTAAAACTTCCTGCTCAAATGCATACAACTTATTGTACCTATTAATAGAGTTATTAAGATGGCTGATTCAAATATTGTTTCCAAAAAAGCCATCCATTTTCTCAAAGCAGCCAGTACTGCCAATTTTCAACTTTGGTACTTAGATGTAACTACTTCACGATGCATCCACAAGCACACTCAGACTGCTTCCTACACATTTTTGAAACGTTGTGGGTAGCCACTGTAGCTATTTTTGGAAACTTTATTTTAAGCTAACCTTTATAACAGATTAGTGTAAGGCAGTACTGACATTCAAGGTGGAAAGTACAGTGTGGATTTAACCTGATAACTCATGAATATCAGCTATTTTTGAAATTATATTCTGAACATTCTTTTAAAAAGTTTCATCAATGCAGGTCAGTGGATTTATAAGGGAGACAAGACTAGATTGGTCACAAATGTGCAAAAAATGATATCCAGAAAGAAAGTAAAATTAGCAGCGATTCTGGGGCTTAGAAGACTGAGAGTTGGATACAGTTTAAAGATTACACACTTTACCTTCTTTAGCACTTTCATAGCAAATATCTTTCCAGTGTACGCTCCTGATACTTTTCGGACTTGGAAAACCTGTAAACAAGAAGAAAATGTTTCTCACTTTACACTTGACTAGTACATCTAATTCCACAAATTAAAAAGCATCAAATCAAATCATGTTATTTCAGCAGACAAGAGAAGGAGCAAGTGTACGGGAGGAAAAAAAAACCTTTTATCTCAAATGAAGTATAGAAATATTCCAGCTTGAAATACTTTCAATTTGAAATTACTTTAGATCTCTAAACTCACCAGACTGCAACCCAACTAAGGTTAGTACAGATTCATGTAATCCAATAGATATATTTTCCATTTTAATTATCCATTCATTTATGAGACAAGGCCAGCATTGTTTGGCCATCTGTAATTATCTGAAACAATGCTGGTGCCAACTCGAATCACTGTAGTCCATGTGGCAATAACACTCCCACGGTACAGTTAGGTAAGTAATTTCAATATTTTGATCCAACGACGAAGGAACAGTGATAAACTTCCAAGCCAGGATGCTGCATGACTTGTAAGGAAACTTGGAGGTACCAGTTTCCCAATGCACCAGTTGGACTGGTTTTCCTAGGTGTTAAAAGGTCACAAGTTTGCAAAATTATGTCCATGAAATCTTGTTAATTGCTGCAGTGAACCTTATAAATAACACAATCCAAACATATGCATCATGGAGGAAGCAATGAACACACAGGGATGATCGATGAGAAGTTAATTAAGTGGGTTCCTTTATCCTGGTTGTTGAGCTTCGAGTGTTGTTGAAGCTGTGCTCATCCAGTGAAGAGGAGAGCATTCAGTCACAATCTTGTTCTTGATGGTTCTGTTTGGGGAGTGAGTCAGAAGGTGTGTCAGTCACCCCAGCTCTTAGCTGCTCTAGTATGTGCATGTTGGATCTAGCTAAGTTTTGGTTAATGGTTGCCCACAGGATAGGGATGGGCTGTTCATAGAAGCAAAAGGATCAAGAACCAGATGACCCAAGTTTATGGTGACTGCAAAAGAACCGGAGGGGGCACAAAACCTTGTTATGTAGTAAATGCACTACCTCAAAGTGTAGAGACACACTCATTTGCAGCTGTCAAAAGGGAAGTGGAGAATTATCTGAGACAAAAAAAGTGCAGGGTTGAAAAGGAGAGAGAGAAGGGTGATTGGAACCAGTTGTGTAGCTGTTGCAGAGAGCTGGAAAAGACACATAGGGCAAATGACACTGGCAATGATACTTTTGCTGATGATCAATTACAGACTGATGAGAGACTACAAGGTCAGAAAACCTTTGCACTAGCAAAGTTGTTTTGCGCATTCACCTAGTGGAGTCATTTTCCTGCTTGTCAACTGACATTAAAATTATCTGTGCTTGGCCTCAAGCTCTTCTCTGATCAGACCTACAATAATGCAAGGGCAACACAGTTTTGCACAAGTTTGGATACACAGCATAATGCCTTCATGCAGAACACATTCACAATTTCTGGTTAGTACCGAGTAAGTTCATTTCAAATGGGCTGCTACAATGATTACGGTGGCCTTGACTAAGGAAATTAGGAAAAATATCCAGGATTCTGACTTGTGATCACTATTTGGCAACTTGTGGAATACATGAATGCTCATCAGATGAGGAGGAAACTGGACTCAGCTATTTTACTCAAAGAGAACAGGCATGATATCAATAAAATAACTAATCCTTTTAAGTATAATCTATTGTTTCCCTAATGACTCAGACACAAGGCAGAAAGTACACTGAATTTACTGTCTGAATTCAGAGTAAAATTAAAGTTGTCTGATATAAATCTAATCAGATTTAGTTAGTTATAAAAGTATTTTCACAAGTTGTTTAACAAATATTATGTTGAGCTATTTCAAAAAGATCATTACCTTACTTTAAAATTGTTCCTTTAATAGCCGTCACAAACCTACACACAAATTTGGATTTTAACCTTCGTCACTTTTGAGAAGAGTAATGCATTTACTTTTCTGACTACACGACTCATACATTGTACAGTATTAGTTTTGACTGCTATGCATGTGAATTAAGCTATGGTTCACAGCTCTTAGATTTAGCTTTCCAAAAAACAATTGTCTTTATATAAAAGATACATGCTAAGGTTACTCAATCTCATGGCTCCCTTGGTCTTTAATGGTCATCTATTATAGTCAGAAGATTGCCTGGGTATACTATTGTCCTAGCATACCATACATCTTCTATAAAGCACATCATCTGTGCTCAATACTCTAACAACACAGCCAAGACAGCATGTACAATCAGAAGCTCTACTGAGCAGCTCTTCCTTACAATGGAAGAAAATTCAGTACAAGAGCATAAAAATTTCCATGAAATGTTTTGCAATCACCTTTCATAAAAGGACTTTACATGAAATTGCCCAGATATCCAGGTATTCAACTTACACTACAGATGACATTTTGGACACTATCACTCATTAGGTTTCAGAATGCATCACTAATGAAACAAAAAATCCACAGTATTCAGGAAAAGGTGAAGGAAGACTTAGCCAGACTGAAATGTTCGAACTTTCTAGCGAGTAACTCAAGGCCTTGGATATAGACTTATCCATTAAAACTGTATTGGGTTATTTATAATAAACATCACAGTTGTTAATTTGGTGATTACATTTGTTTAGAACATGCCTCAGCAGTGTTAAAACACTAAACTGAAAAGCCAAAACAATTATTATTAAATACACAATGCACTTGCATCCCTTAGCATTCCCTGCTGTCTCAAGTAAATAGGCATCTTTTATATGCACGCTTACATGAAAATCAGCAAGCTGTTACGCTATGAAAGCAAAGTCTCAGCCACCATCTTAAAATATGCAGCATCAAAACAGCAGATTACTCCAAATCTCTTCTTTCTCCCACCCACCTCCACACACAAAAACTCTAATATAGATGCTTTAGATCAAAAACTAGGATAGTGCTTCATACAAGGCTCAGTACCATACTAGATTTTACATTTGCTCAAAAGCCACTGGGGAAGCTGTCTGTACTTTTTCCCCCCCCACTCACCAAGCTACAGTACAACCTTTATTCCACGAAAATGTTGCTAAAAGATCTGTTTTTATAAAATCTTCCAATTAAAATAAAAGCATGCTCAAGTTCACAATTTCTCTTTGTATTTTAGCCAACAGTGTGCCGCCATGTCATGTTACAAGATTAATGATCAAAGTCAGGAGAAATTTTGTATATTTGAGCTAGCTACAGATTCTACAATAATCTACAAATAGCGCATTATCACAACTTTGGAGTACTAGCTAATTATATCTCAGTTTGAAGCATTAGGAATTCACCTGGTAAATGTAAAAGGATGAAAGAACAGCATCTGTAGTTGTCACTGTCTTTTCATTTCTGCAATGTGAGTTCAAACCCAGACCTGAGTGTTACAAAAGAAAAGTCTCCTCTCTGTTCAACAAAGATGAAATTAATCAGCTTCAGATGCATGCAGTCATTTCTCTGCTGCAGAACTTTCTGCACAAATTGATAGTCAAGAGCTCTGAGGAACATTGTTTGCAAGTTCCTCAGTTCCAGGTTTGGCTCAGTCTATGGGATATCAACCATGAAACACAACTGCACAGCAAAACTCTTCACATGTTTCATGGATCCAATTACTTTCTGCCCCAGTGACAACCTTCTCTCCTGCTCTCAAGATAAAGCCATAGATAAATGAGGGAGCATCACTAATGAAAAGTACTCACCTCTAGAAAACCAAACCGCAGACCTGTCGGATCTGATCTGTCGGATGGGAATAAAATTATTAACTCAAAAGAACCGCCGTGCCTTCTATCCATATATGGACAGCAAGGATGAAGAAATTCCTTCAGCCTCGATTATGTAGAATTCACATGATCATTCTGTGGAAATAATACCCCCAGCTCTGAATCTAAATATATGGCAACTCTTGTTTAACCTCCCATATCATTTTCTAGATTTAAAAATTCTATTGCAGCAAGAAACCCTCTGATAGTTCCTTAATCTAAAATGGAGCAAGGGAAAGGTAAGTAGGGACTGACAGTCAGATAAGGAAGAAGGAATAGGTTCAAAGCAAGACAAAGGAAGAAATAATGGACTAAGCTGCAAAAGTAGTAAAGAGTAAGAAACAGCACAACACAAGCAACAAGGAGAAATGCCAGCTTAGTTCAACCAGCAGGGCATAAAACTGAGTTTAAAACAAAACTATTTTTGAAACAAAAAAAATCAATACAATCTTTACCTTCCCATAACCACCTTTGCCCAGTACACGCAGAAGCTCAAAGCATTCTGGTCGGATCTTTTCTGGACCTCGATTCACATTATTTTCAGAGATTTCAAACTTTTCACAGTGCTCCATATCCCTGCAAATCAGAAGAAAATACCCTTCAAATCACTCCACTATAAACACTAAAATGGTAATTTAAAGCAGCCCTCAAGTTGTGCAAGAGATGGCAAATAAAAGGTAGAAAAGAAAACTTTCAACATAAAAGCACTATATTTTATTTTCCTGCTTCTCATTTTGCTCTCCCTTCCAGATTAGTACACCTGCACAATTTCCCAGTATCATTAGCTCTCTCATACCCTAACCAAATAGATTTTATGCGAAGTTTGCAGATATTGGTGATTTGATCCAGCTAAGCCCAATTTGTATAATTTTGGCAGATAGATTGTTTTAAAATCAGCAGCCTACAAAATAAGCAAAAATTCTTGCTACTCCCCCAACACCCAGTCCAAAAGTACGGAGGCCAACTGTTGTCTCTTCAGCCTTTGGGGATGTAGTACGAGACAGACTGGAGAGCAAACATTTTTACTAGCCATTGGAGCAATCGGTGTATACAGATGCATCATCTAATAAATTAAACTTTCCATTTCTTATGCTATTTCCTGAAAGATTTTTAAAGCAACAAAACCCAAACTCACAGTTCAAAGGGAACACCATGCTCCATGCAGTCACTGTACTGAATCTGGAGAAAAGTACAGGCATTAGTATAATTTAATACAAAACAGATATTCCTCTTTTATTTTGTACAATTCTCGCCATTACCAATGTCCAACATTAAAGTTGCATTAAACAGAATTATAATTAATTTATTTTCAAAGATCTCAAGAAGTTTACACAAGATAAAAGTAATCTTTCAGCAGTTGAATAACTATTACATTCTCTCCCAAATACTGGTTTGGACCCTGCCCCCACTGCATTCTTGCATGTCATTCCTTTCTGCTACTTTATTGTTCAGTTTTATTCAAAGCTTTTTCTAGAAGAGAGACCTGGAAGTGAATGAGTACAAGTTATTAAAGGTGGTACAGCAGTTTGAGGAAGATGTTAATAAGATATACAGAATCCTGGACTTTCTGAAGAGGGCACAGAGTACAGAAGAAAGATGTCACAGGTAACCAGTAGAAATATTGGTCTAATCTGGAATAAAGGCAAAACACTACAGATGCTGGAAATCTAAAACAAACATAGAATGCTGAGTTTCTCCAGCGTTGTGTCTGATTCAATCTCAACTGGAGTTCCATGTCCAATTTGGGACACTGTACTTTATTAAGGATTTGAAGACAGTAGAGAACGTGCAGGAAAAACTCAACATCACTTCCATGATTGAGGGACCATTCTCCTTAGAAAACTGATGGTTGAGAAATGATTTGACATCAGCGTTCAAAATTGAGAGTGTGGGGCAGGGATCATAAGGAGACATTGTTCTCATAGCAGAAGGGTCAGCAATGAAAAGCCGCTCATTTGAAATTAGCGAGAAAAGCACAAAAGGACACCATGAGCAAAATCTTAGTCTTCTGTTTGTGATTCCTGAACTTAGTTATTAATTGAGCATATGCCTGGATATATTTATCAATTACTTATTCTTTAACACTGGATATTTTTGGTTGCCACATTTCAGGCTACTTTTACAGTTTATCCTTACCCAAGTTAATTCTCAGTAAGTTCAGGGAATGAATTAATTCAGCACAATTTAGTTACTGATTTTAGCCCGTGCGTTTTCAATATTTTTGTCCCTCTGAAGGTAGGATGACATTGCAATGTAATTTAACTGCCAAGCAATCACCAATGGCATTTCATAATAGGAAGTATTAAGCAATTATGATAAATCACAACTAATATTCTTTCACTTTTTTGCACATCTAGAGAAGTTAACAACCTGTTTTGAAAAGTTCCAAACAGATTCACCAGTATGTAAACACAGGTTCATAAAAGATTTTAAAAAAAAAAGGACCCAGTGAATTTAAACACTATTAAATTCAATTAAATGCTGACTGTCAGAAGCACGCATGAACAAATTCTTATGAGAATGGCATGGTCCTTTAACATAGCTTTCATTGCTGTCGTTCCATTAACATTGAAAAAACATTTGCAGGTCTAAGGAAATAGTGAAAGGAGGGTATTTGGTGAGGTGACCATAGGCTTGGTCAAGTGGTTGTAATAAAGAGATTCACAAAGAAGGTAAAGAGATGAAGGGAAATTGAAGTAGACAATTCCAGAATGTGCTGCCTAGGCAACTGAAGACACAGCCAGCAATTAAAGACCAGGATTGATGAGCAAAGATATACCAATGGAGAAATGTTTCAGCAGAGCTGGGAACTGAGGATAAGGATAAGGATAAGGATAAGGATAAGGATAAGGATAAGGAT